TCCCAGCAGGAGGCCAGTCCTGTGCTCCTCAGAGTCCCAGCAGGAGGTCCCCCAGTTCCCCTGTGTCATCAGAGTCCAGCGGGAGGCCGTCCCTGTGCTCTCAGAGTCCCAGCAGGAGTCCAGTCCTGTGCTCCTCATTGTCCCAGCACGAGGCCAGTCCATGGCTTCCTCAGAGTCCCAGGGAAGGATCCTGTCCCTGTGCTCCCAGAGTCCCGCACGGGGCTAGTCCCTGTGCTCATCAGTGTCAAGCAGGAGGCCAGTAAGTCCTTGTGCTCCTCAGAGCAGGAGGACGTCCCTGTGCTCCTCAGTGTCCCTGCAGGTGGCCTGTCTGTGTCCTCCAGAGTCCAGGCAGGAGTCGTCCCTGTGCTCCTCAGAGGGGTTTTTTTTCCCCCACCAGCACGGAGGCGAGTCCCTTGTGGCTCCTCAGAGTCCCAGCAGGGGCAGTCCTTGTGCATCCTCAGAGCAGGAGGCCAGGTCCCTGTGCTCTCAGAGTCCGGATTTAAGAACATACAGTGGGGCAAAAAAGTCAGCCACCAATTGTGAAGTTCTCCCACTTAAAATAAGACAGATGTCTGTAATTTTCTTCATAGGTTCACTTCAATGTGAGAGACAGAATGGAAAAAAAATCCAGGAATTCACATTGTAGGATTTTTTAAAGAATTTATTTGTAAATGATGAGTGGAAAATAAGTAGTTGGTCACTTCAAACAAGGATGATCTCTGGCTTTCTCACAGACCTGTAACTTCTTCTTTAAGAAAGCTCTTCTTGTCCTTCCACTCGTTTTACCTGTATTAATGGCACTGTTTGAACTCATCTGTATAAAAAGACACCCTGTCCACAGGCCTCAAACAGTCAGACTCCATACTCCATATGGCCAAGACCAAAGAGCTGTCGAAGGACAGCAGGAAAAGAATTGTAGACCTGCACCAGACTGGGAAAAAAAGGTAAAAAAAAAAGTGAAAGTGTGAAAAAAAATAAGTAAAGTGGGGTTTGTTTAAAAAGTCGTTGTGATTGGGTTTTGGTTGAGAAAAAAAAAAAAAGTGATGTGCGTAGGTGTGGGTTGGATTGTTGGATGTTGTGATGTTGAAAGGTTTTTTGGGTGAAAAAAAAAAAAAGGTTTTGGCTTGATGCGTGTGAAAAAGTGGGTGTGTCTGGGTTTGGTGTCTAAAGGTGATCTACTAATTGGCAAGCAGCCTTGGTGTGAACAAATAAAATGTGGGAGCAAATTATCAGAAAAGGGAAGACATAAAAGATCACACTGTTAAATTGTGATCAAAAATCCACAGAACCACCGGGGGGGACCTGGTGAGATGTCCTGCAGAGAGCTGGGACAAAAGTAACAAAGGTTACCATCAGGAACACACTACGACGACAGGGAATCTATCCTGCAGTGCCAGACGTGTCTCCCCCTGCTGAGCCAGTGCATGACCAGGCCCGTTCCTGAAGTTTGCCAGAGAGCACATGGATGATACAGCAGAGGTTTGGGAGATGTTCTTGTGGTCAGATGAAACCAAAGTACAACTGTTTGGTATAAACTCAACTGTCGTGTTCGGAGGAAGAAGAATACTGAGCTACATCCCAAGTCACCTTACCTACTGTGAAGCCATGGGGGGTGGAAACGTCATGCTTTGGGGCTGTTTTTCTGCTAAGGGTACAGGCACGAATGATCGTTTTATTTTAGGAAAGAAAGAATGGGGCCATGTATCGTGAGACTTTTGAGCAACACTCTCCTGCGATCAGTGAGAGCTTTGAAGATGAAACGTGGGTGGGTCTTCCAGCAGACAATGATCCCAAATTCACACCGCTGTGTCGTCACCGGGCAACGAATAGGATTAGTGGCTCCGTAAGAAGCCTTTGAAAGTCCTGGAGCCAGTCTCCAGACCTCAAACCATTGAAAAATCTGTGGAGGGAGTTGAATGTCCGTTGTCACTGCTCTCGAGAGGGATCTGCTGGAGGATGGCCAAAATACCAGCTTTGTGTGCAACTGGTAAAGGGACCTATTAGTAATCGTTGACCTCTGTTATTGCCAACCAAAGGTTATATTACAAATGTATTGAGTTGAATTTTTGTTATTGACAAATACTTATTTTCCAACATCATTTACAAATAAATTCTTTAAAAATTACAATGTGAATTCCTGGATTTCTTTTCAATTCTGTCTCTCACAGTTGAAGTGAAACTCTGATGTACTTTCAGATCCTCTGTCTTTAGTTTAAGTGGGAGAACTTGCACAGTCGGTGGCTGACTTTTTTGCACCCACTGTATGTTCTTAAATCGGACTCTGAGGAGCACAGGGATGGCCTCCTGCTCTGTGGAGCTACAAGGACTGGCTCCTGCTGGGACTCTGAGGAGCACAGGGACTGGCTCGTGCTGGGACTCTGAGGAGCACCTGGGACTGGACTCCTGCTGGGGACTTGAGGAGCACAGGGGACTGGCTCCTGCTGGGACTTGAGGAGCATCAGGACTGGCTCATGCTCTGAGGAGCACAAGGACTGGCCTCCTGCTGGGACTCTGAGGAGCAGAGGGACTGGCCTCGGGCTGGGACTTCTGAGGAGCACAGGGACTGGGACTCCTGCTGGGACTCTGAGGAGCAAAGAGGACTGGCCTCGTGCTGGGACTATGAGGAGCACAGGGACGGGACCTCCTGCTGGGACTCTGAGGAGCACAGGGACTGGACTCCTGCTGGGACTCTGATGAGCACAGGGACTGGATCTGCTGGGACTCTGAGGAGCACAGGGACTGGCTCCTGCTGGGGACTTGATGAGCACAGGACTGGACTCCGCTGGGACTCTGAGGTGCACAGGGACATGACTCCTTGCTAGTCCAGAGTCAGGACTAAACATGGGGAGGCTGCATTTAAGATTTATGCAGCCTAAAATCTGGAAGAGTCTTCCTGAAAATGTGAGGACAGCTTCTGTCAGACAATGTTCAAATCAAGGTTCGAACAGTTCTGTTAGCTGTGAATAACTGGGGGGATTCTATCTTCTGTGTTTATGTGCCTTGTTCAGCACTTGAGTTGCCTTGTGTATGAATTTGTGCTATATAAAATATACATGTCCTTTCACTCGTCCTTACACCCTTTTTGCATTTGCACCTAGCAAGGCACCATCAACATCGGTCTTGACACACCTGTACTCCTGTGTACTTGGACACATACTTGGACACGACAAACGCCTGGGGACTGACACACCTGGTACTACTCTGACAACTGCGCCTGGTCCTCTACACCACTTGGTACTAAGGACAAACACCTGGTACTGACCAACTTTCCCTGGTACTGAACAACTCAACCTCCTGTACTGAGACTGACCACTCTGATACGGACACACTTGGTAACTGACACACCTGTACTGACAGCTAATCCTGTACTAAGACACTCCGTGGTACATGACACACCTGGTACTTGACACTCCTAGACTCCTCCTGGTACAAGACAAGAAAACTCACTTGCGATTGGTACTCAGACAACACGAAACCTGGTACGGAACACTCCTGGTACGCTGAAACTAACCCTGGTACGGACACTGCACTCCTGGTACTGACACTGTCCTGGTATACTAGCGAAACAACACTGCATACTGAACAACACTTGGTACTATGACACACCCCCTCCTGGTACGCCACTCTGTATGACAAACTGACAACACCTGGTACATCAGACACACTCGCCTGGTACAGGACAACAATCAGACCTGGAACTCCGACACACCTGGTAAATTTGACATACACAATCTTTGGTACAGACAAGGCAACAGAACCACAATTGTCCTGGTACTCTACAGACAACTACCCAGTACTAGACAACTACCTGGACTAAACACAAAAGCAAGGACAACCATGGAACAACTAGACAACTACTCTAAAACAGCCTGGTAACTGACACAACTTTATACTGGGTCCACTTCTCTGGTACTCGAGACACTTTCCAGGTACTATAACACACCCTGGTAATAGTGACCAAACAACACCGGTACTGACAGAACAACATGATACTGACACTTCTTATCACGTCGATCGTAGTATCGTTGTACTGACTCACCCTGGTACTTATCAAGCACAATCCACTGGTACTGCGACACCACACCTGGTACTAGACACACCTGGTTCTCGACATTAACACCTGGGTGCAGGTCCATACATTAACCAATGTTTTTCTTCTGTGTTTGTTACTGTTGGGCTAGTGTGAAAACAGTCCCGCCCAATTCGTTTTACATGTTACTACTAAACCAGTTATTATTCATAATGTTAAAGGTATTATCCTGAAACCAACCCGTTGTAAAAAAGTAACTTTTTCGCCTCCATCAAATCGGTTTCCTTACCTCACATCGGCCCACATTTAGAGAGACTAAACACTGAACCAATAGCAAAAACGATCCAGATAGTAAAACCAAGTAAATGAAATAAAAAATTAAAATGATCACAGTGTTTTGGTGAATGGCAGAAGTTTATTTTGGATATAGCATACAGTTATTATACACACGGCAACTCAAAGGACTGAACAAAACAAAAGAAACATTAAAATTCATAAATAGATAATTATTAATAATTAAGTAAAAAAGAGCGAAGGACAACTCCTAGTCTCGATTTATTATCAATATTTTCTAAAACGTGAGGGAGTTAAAAAAATAAAAAGCTCCCATAACCTCTGTTCTGACAACCACATGCCGTTACCCCCGCCCTCTTTTTTCCCTGACTTGTTCACCATAAACTTTCCCTGGGATCAGAGCTTGTTTCAGTTTTCTAGTGTATATTTATAACAAAATGTCTGCATACGAGCTAACCAGACCTCCGACGAAAGCTTAGGCCACGTCAGAGTTAAAGGACGCACGGTCATATTGGTCCTCTGATATTTTAGGGACAACCATACCCACGCGCTACATTGGGAGACCTTACCAAAGTTCCACCCAACTACACTTTTGTGGATCGTGAGTGAGGATTTTATGCGGGATAGGTGCTGGAGAGCGGGGCGGCCTACGTCACCGAGCACCTACACTCCCCCGATGGAAGCCGCCGTACAGGTCCAAACACCGCTCGACGGTACAGCGTCCCGTTTGTCACTGCCTTATCTCTCACAAGCAAAAGAAAGCGAGACATCTCCAGATTAGTGCGTTTCTTGTTAAAATAACAAAATTGAGATAGACGGAAATCAAGGCCTTACCGCCCCCAACGGAATAGCCAGAGACCTGGAATCGAGCGCACGCACACGGCGCAGCAACTACCGGCCGATCCCGCCGCTAGACGCCGCCGAGCGACGCCGCCTGAGACGCCAGCCGAGACCGCCGCCGAACGCCGCCGCGACGCCGCAAAACAGTGACCGCCGCCGGACGCCAGGCCGAGAACCCAGCCTAGGTATATAAATCACGTCGGGGCCAACAAATCCAGATCAGGTTCCTCAGGGATACCTTTATGAGAATTTTGTATTTTGTGTATTTACCCGAGTAAGAAAGTAATCCTGCAGACAGAACAAAACAAGATGCAGTTGTTAGATTTAGTCAAAGACAAGATGTTGGAACCGAAGCAAACTCTTTCTTGGGCTTTAACCCCCTTCGTTTACAACTGTTTTACCCCCCGACTGCATCCTGCAAACTACGATATATAACCCAACTCGAACCTTATACGTATATAACTCCTAATCCCTATCCCTGAACCCATTTACGATATATAAAGGAAGTATCATCACAGAGGACAGAGATCTAAACGTGTCTTTCAAAAGAACCACAGAACAAGCATTTTGTATAAATGATTATTTGATATATACTGTGCATGTCTATAGAATAATGAGGGACAGATTGCACACCATAACACACTGTCCTAAAACACTCAGAAGCCTAAACTACTGCGGCATGCAATCATGTATATATAAAGTACAGATGTATTCGACCTAAAAGTATTTTATTTATTGTGTTAGTGTAGTTATATGTTTCAAAATGTATCAAAACTGTCTTCGTTGGAGTTTATGGTGGCTGAATCTTATGTTTTTGCTTATTTTCCTCGAGAGGAGGTATTCCTCAGAATGATGTGTGTTTTTGCGCGCCGAGATGTTCCTTTTATCATACTTCTAAAGCCCTATGTGAGTCGCCTGGATGCTACGAGCAGAAACCGGCCGCAGAAAACTGCATTTGTGGCTTCTGCAATCGGTGCATTTAGATTATGGACCAAAATTATAAACAACCCCTACGACCCTGCAGCGGATGAAGCGGAAGAAAAGGGGATGTGATTATCAATGGTTGTCTTTCCGATTCACAAGAGTGTGATATTTTTGAATAAATGATGAAACCCTGTGATCGGGTCATAGTGTAACGTCCTGGACCTGTCGTTCTTGCGACAGTTTGATAGAGTCAGGGGTAGAGGGAGTCCAACACGTGGCTGCGGTGTGCACATGGTCCTTTGCCGCAGCGTTCAGTGTTTGCAGCGTAGCTCAGATGCCAGAGAAGAACGGCCTCTTTCCTCTGCTAAAGGGCACTCCCTTCAGCTTGTTTACTGGCCGCTGTAATAAATCTGGATGACCTCAATGTGTGCCAGTCTACAGTTCACATCTGTGGCCAGGAGGGGGCGTACAACTCCGGGCCGCATGAGGCTGGTTCCCGGGCACCAGCATTTTTTTTGTCTGCCTGGTCCCTGACGGAGTGCACACATGGTCGGGATTTGTGTTTTTTAAATGTAGTGAAAAAGAAACTTTTGAGGACAGTATGGAGAAACCGCATGTGTCTAGAAGAAAAGAAACGACATGTGTGGTTTTCACTATATTTCTAGTAAAGCAGGGATACCTCATTTAATAGTAATAGCGAGCGCTGTGCAGTATTTGTTTGTCCCCAAGATACAGTTTCAAAGTGTAAATGTTTGCCCCATATCAGGCTTATAAGTGGAAGATCTAACTAAGAATACCAAGTTTTCAGTAAAAGAGTCTCCGATAGAGGCTTTGGCTGAGAGCTGAAAACAATTCCACGTTCCTGAACTTTGGCTCTTTCTGGGAGGTGGAAGCAATCTGAGTGGATTTGTTGGCAACTGACCTACCCCTGTGTCTGCGCGAGGTGTTCCTCCAGGTGCTATCGGGTCGTCTCCTCTACCCCTAAATAACATTTAACGAATAGCCCCCCTGTCTCCCAAAATAGATTCCTTAAAACTCCCGAGGGACACTCACTGGTGAATATTAGTATTATATACTAGTTTATGTAGTGTCACCAGTCAAATGGACAACAGACACACAGTGCAGAAAGAAAAGGAACACAAGTTTAATGCGAACACTGTTGACATGGCATTGAAAACATGAGTCTGCCTCAAAGGGATAGTGAAGAAGATCTCTTTAGTCCAACCCAGTCAAATCATTGAGTACAAGATTAACAGTACATTGCGTTACACGGAAAAATGATTAATACATTGAAACAACAATTATACCAAAAAAGCAGATGAACAACACCACGATGGAAAAGTAAAGACAATAAAAACAGAAAAAAACAAAATAGTGTTTACTTAAGTAGCTAATTATAACAAACAATACAGACACAGTTCAAATATAAGGATCCAATCTCTCCACACGAGATAACAGACAAAACACACTGGGTCCATCAAAGCCTCCGACCAAACACCCACCATTCACCATCACACAATCAGACTATTGTACATGTTTTAGGGGTAGTTACACTGGAGCACCTGGAGGTAAACCCACAGCAGACACGGGAGAACCCCTAGAACCTTATTTGCTTTGAGACTGAATGAACTTGGGATTCTCTCAATTGTTTGATGTATTTTCCATGTCATTTTCACTATCCATTTCAAAACAGAATAATTTTAATGACGAAGCGAAGCTTCAGAGAGACCCCGTCTCGTTGCGCTCGCAGTCCTCCGCCGTGTGCGGACGTTGTACTCTGAACTTCCTGTTATTGACGAGCCCCGGTTCTGTCTGCGACGGACACTATTTATGGCTCTGCTCGCGTTTCGGCCTGACCTCCATACAGAAGTCCTGCTCTCATTAACCTTCGCGGCTCTCGCAATCCATCCAAATAAGACTCAGACACAGCGAGTATGGACACGGCTCGGTCTGGGTCAGGATGGCAAACATCAATAAACTGAATCGAGGCTGAAACAAGCGTGGTTCACATCCCCCACGTAAAAAGGCTGATGTCACCTAACTTTCAAACAATCGTTGAACAAAAACAAATCTCTTCTGGTTCTCAGGTTGCTGTCTCCACTTTGCCCAAACCTGTTTTTAACGTTTTCAGTGGATCAACCAAAAAGAGGCATAAACTGAAAGTGACAACAAAAGTTTTTCATTTTACAAAACACTGAATTCAAATGTGTTATTTAAACAGAAGAATATTTAGGTACCCCCCCGCCTTAATGCAGTCTCAATTCCCCACAATCCACTGGAATACTGCCTGTATATCTACACCGCTTCAGAATCATTTCTAACCCTAGCAAATCCCCACCAAAAGTATCTGTAAAAACCTGCGTCTGTTAAAAACAGTAAAACAACCTGCTCTGATAAAAACTGCGTCTGTAAAAACTGTAAAAAGACTGTAAAAACCTGTTGCGTCGAAAAAAACCTCGTCTGCAAAACAGTAAAAACCTTGCTACTGTAAAAACTGTAAAAAAACTGTAAAAACCAGCCGTCATGTAAAAACCTGCGTTCTGTAAAAACTGTAAAAACCAGCGTCGTAAAAACATCCGGAAAAAACAGCGTCGATAATAAACCCGTCGCGACATGAATTTATTATTTATAGAATTATTTTTAATTTTTGAGATTTTACGCTCAAAGAGACCTAAAGTTTAGGGATATCTAAAGTACAGTTTGACCACGACTCTCTCTGTAACCTTTTTTTGTACCTGTTTCCATAAATACAAAGTCTTCCATCAAACATTAAAGGGCCCCTCTGTGGCTTGTCATTAGAATTTGATTTAGGAAGAAAGCACGGATCCATTTGGTTAAGGACTGAAGACATGTCCCTGATGTTAGTTTTTGGACCATGATGGAGATCCCAATGACTTCCTCATTCTGAAACACGACTCGTCCATCTCCATCAGTACCTGACGCCACAAAACCAACAAAGCCAGGAGCTGAAAAGAGACGTACCTAGCAATACAGTCAAAAGGGCCTCCATCCCAAACGCTCTGTCTCTGGTTTCACACTGGGATGTTATTCCACTTCGCAGCCAGAGAGAGAAATTAAATCATATTCTCCGGGTCGGCTGTAAATATGAGTTTATCTCTCTGATTGATTTTGTACATTTTTCACGACATTTATGATTTACATCCACAGAGACGAAAGTGTACCGTAAACAACAGAAACATAAACTAACCGTCAACTTAAACAGTGATTGAGTAAATTGCATAGCTGAGATAATTGGACAGGGTTACTTCTCACTTTGTAGCCTGATTAAAAAAGCCGTGAAGCTGCTCAGGGCAAGATTATAGCTAACCTACTTGGTGGACTAATGTGGACCTAATTTGGACTGATTTGGACTAATGTGGACTGATGTGGTGAGTGTGACGTCCAAAGGGGTCATATGAGACACTATCTTGGGATTGCCAAAAGGTTTCAGCTCAGAACAATGTTTGAGGGTACCAGGCGAGCTCGATCTTTACTCACTTTAGCACTGATGTTGTGATTAAAGTTATTAGCAGAAGTAATCGCTGTTTATTTTTACAAAAATCCTGCGACAAAAACTGGAGCGTCCGTGTTCCTAACCCAACTGAGCTAAATGTGTAGCTTACACAACTCCCAATATGATCTCCACAAAGAACGTTACTGAATCGAATCGTCTCTTGTGACCTGTCCTCACATCCAGCCAGAAGTTTGCTTTCCAGGAACAAACCCAACAAGTAGGCTACATGTCTTATTGAATAACTCAACACCTGAGTCATTAACTGCCAACGACCATCCTCGAGTCATTTAAACCACGGAATACAGCGCCAACCAAAACAATGGACACATCACCCACAGGAACAGGTGAACCGCAATAATCCCCTGGATGAGATAACTGATTCTCGTGTCCCGAGCGTGATACAAAAGTGCTGGGGATTTCTGTTGAGGACATTCCGGAAGGTGAGGATGGGAGGGGAGTGGGGGAGAGGGTTGAGAGGAGGTTGGGGAGGTTATGAGGGTGGGGGGGGGGGGGGGGGCTGCTATACAACTATAATATATCCTACGAGCACTGCATACTGTAAATATTGATCGAAGTCGAGGGCCGCGGCTGATGAGGAGGGTCATCACAGTCTACACTACCGCAGCTGCCAATCAACAAGTAAACACACAGAACTCAAATAAAAAAATACTATAAAGACCAGGAGTGAGTGGGCATTAGCTCGGATCATACAATTAGAACGAATATGTGATCCATACTTCTCCCTTAATTAATCCTAGAGCGTGGTATTACAAGATATATGAAATAGATAGAATAGGTAGGTTGGGTAGAGTCAGTGGGGTAAAGATAGAGAATAGGTTGGTATTGATGGATAGAACATAAATGTAGCTGATGAAATAAATTGAGGGAAAGGGGGTATAGAAGAATGAATTAGTTTATATGGAAAGACAGATACATAAATAGAGTTGGAAAGGTAGAAGTAGTGGTATACCTTGATACATTAGATAGATATATATGTATTATATAGCTTAGGTGCATGGGTATACCGCCGTCCAGAGACCCCAGCAAATGGGTACCTTGAAAATATAGATGTGCAATAAAACACAACTTTGCTCTTTTCCAATCCATTTCCTCTGAAACCCTCCAGTCCATCCCTGTCCAGGGAGCATGTTGGCAGCTGCCTGGAGCCGGACACGTGTAGATGTGACCCGGAAGACACGGGTGTTCTCTCTCTGCGCCTCTTTGTGCATCCAAGAAAAGTGTCATCCCAGTGTCACACATCGTGGTTGTAACGGTGAATAGCTCGTCCCACAGCCCACTAGTAATGCACATTGACATCATGACTCCATAGAGCATGACGATGGTGGAGACAGATGCGGTGGCGGGCGCAGCTTCGGGGTTCTGAATGAGGAAGACGGACTTCCGCGCCTCGTGTGCTCGAGTCCAATCGATCCAGCTTCGGGAGGAGCGGATGGAGCGGGGGGGCCTATCACTAATGTTCCTCCTTCTCCTTCTATATCACACTCCCCGTTATCCCTCGGCGACCCGACACGGCTGGACTGTGGCTATGCGACACTCCGCTGGGACTTAGGCACTAATCACCACTTTTTCCTTCCCTCGGAGGTGATGGAGCCGGGGGGCGCGGGGGGTCTCCTGGAGCGCGCTGCTGTGAAGTCTATTTCTGTTTTTGCCGAGTTTGAAAGTGAACCTTAAATAAGTGTGTTTGGTGCGGACAGAAGGATTGGCTCCAAGCTGGGAATTCTTTCTTCCTCCTCCAGAGCAGCACAACAGGATCTGGACTCACGAACCCATGTTGTCCACGGGGAAGATTTGTGTAAAGTCATGTTTTTCTACCTTTCTAGAAAAATGTGCATTATTCAGTGCTTTTCCACAAATAATCTATAGGGACTTGGTGGTGTTTTAAAGGTCAGCAGTGGCTCCGATTATTGTGGTTTTCTTTGATTGAAAACCAAAAGCAACTCTCAAATGTTTACAGGCGCGACCCCGTTTTATAAGCGCGTCCTGAGTCCAGAGGCATCGGTCCGACCCTGACCTGGGGATCGACGGGTGAACCGTGCCCTTCATCGGGAGCAGGTTAAATACAGACCCCCCCTCAGTGTCCACGGCTTACGAAGATTCCGTGGAGTGTTTCCCGCTGACTCCGCGTCTTATTGGAATCTCTTTGAAAGAATGGATCAAACGCCGGCGGATAAAACGTGTGGGAGAGGGACGATGTGCGGACGGCTTTTGGACCTGCGCACATCCAAAAAGAGGGTGGTGCAGAGGGGGAGGGGGGGGTGTAGATGGGGGGCGCACGGGAAGGCGCGCTGCACACGCGGGCGGGGGGGCGAGCCGGTGCGTGCGTGTTGTAATTACCTGTGCAGTGTTAATGGGCGCAGTAATGCGAGCCAGCCCTAGTCGAGCTGTATTTGTTTAGTCGCTTTGTGAGCTGTGGACCTTGCTCTGTGTCCCATCGCAGTCCCAACCGCGCCTGCATTTGTTCAGATCCTTTGTTAAAGCCATAAACATGACTTAGGCTTTAACAAAGGACTGAACAAATGCAGGCGCGGTGGGACTGCGATGGGACCAGAGCAAGACCACAGCCACAAAGACGACTAACAAATACAGCACGACTAGGGCTGGCTCTCATTACTGCGCCCATTAACCATGCACCAGGTAATTACACACGCACGCACCGGCTCGGCCCGTGTGCGCGCGCCTCCCGTGAGCCCCCATCTACACCCCCCTCCTACCCCCTCTGCACCCCCCTCTTTTTGATGTGCGCATCCAAAGCCGTCAGCACATCACCCTCTCCCACACGTCTCCGCCGCGTTGATCCATTCTTTCAAAGAGATTTCCAAAAGACGCGGAGTCAGCGGGAAACACTCACGGATCCTTCGATAACCGTGACACTGAGGGGGTCTGTATTAACCTGCTCCGTGAAGGCCCGGTTCACGTCGATCCCCGGTCAGGGACGGACCGATGCCTCTGGACTCAGCGACCCGTAAAAGGGTCGCGCCTGAAACATTTGAGAGTTGCTTTTGGTTTTTCCATCAAAGAAAACCACAATAATCGGAGCCACTGCTGACCCTACAACACCACCACGTCCTATAGAATATTTGTGGAAAGCCTGAAAAAGCACATTATATAGAAAGGGTAGAAAAACAGACTTTACCCAAATCTCTCCCCGTGACCACATGGGTTCGTGAGTCCAGCTCCAGTTGTGCTGCTCTGGAGGAGGAGAAATCCACAGCTTCGGAGCCAATCCTCAGTCGCACAAACCACTTATAAAGTTCACTTTCAAACTCGGCATAAAACAGAAATAGACTTCACAGCACGCGCATCCAGAGACCCCCGCGCCCCGCTCCATCACCTCCGAGGGAAGGAAAAGTGATGAAAAGTGCCTAAGTCCCAGCGGAGAGTCGCAGCCACAGTCCAGCCGTGTCCGGTCGCGGGGATAACGGAGTAAAAAGGAGATGCACAAGTGATAGCCCCGCTCCATCCGCTCCTCCCGAAGCTCGATCGATTGGACTCGAGCAGAGCGCGGAGAGTCCGCCTCCTCATTCAGAACCACAGCTGCGCCCGCCCCGCTCTGTCTCCACCACGCCCTGCTCTCCTGGTGTCATGATGTCATGTGCACTTACAGAGGGCTGTGGGGACGAGCCAACACCGATACAACCACGATGTGTGATTGACACTTATTCTTGGAGCACAAAGAGGCAGAGAGAGAACACCCGTGTCTTCCGTGACTCTACACGTGTCCGGCTCCAGGCAGCTGCAAATGCTCCTGGACAGGGAAGGACTGGAGGATTCAGAGGGCAATGGAATGGAAAAGAGCAAAGTTTAGTTTAATGCCATCTATCTATCAATGAACCATGCAGGGGTCTCTGGAGCGCGTAACCCATGCACCTAATCTATATAACTACATATCTATCTATCTACTGTATCAATGTATACCCACCTACTAACCTTTCCAACTCTATATGTATCTGTCTTTCCATCTAACTATTCATTCTTCTATAACCCACCATCTCTATCTATCATCAATCTACATATCTGTCTATCCATCAATACCCACCTACTCTATCTTTACCCATGACTCTACCCACCTACCTATCGTAATCTATTTCATAAATCAGTAATACCACGCTCAAGGTTAAAGGAGAAGTATGGATCACATATTCCGTTCTATTACGTATTGATCCCGAGCTAAGCCACTCACTCCGGTCATTAAGTATCTTTTAATGGAGTCTGTGTGAATTACTTGTTTGATTGCAGCGCGGTGTTGTAAAGACTGGATGACCCTCCTCATCATCCGCGGCCCTCGCTTCGATCATATTACAGATGCAGTGCGGGATATCAATAGTTGTAAAACCGCCCCCCCCCCCCCCCCCCCTCAAAACCAAACCCCCACTCCTCTAACCCTCTATGCTTGTGTATCTTATTTTCTCTTGTTTGATAGGTTTTTTCTCATTTTTCTTTATTGTTTCCTGGTGATAATGTTTATAAATAATTTTATATCTTCTCCTTGACGGTATAATATAAGTTCAATTACTAATCTACTTACTTTAGAAATCAGTTGATTATATTTGTTAGTGTAATGTAATATCCAATATGTTTTTAAGAAATTTCCTCTTTATTTATTCTATTTTCATTCTATTATATTTTTTTTATTTCACACTGTATATTTAATTTTTTTTTAAATTAATTTTATATATAATTCTTATTTGTTTTTTATATTCTCTTCTCGCTTATATCTTTTATTTTTTATTATAGTTTTGTGTCTCATTTCATAAATTTTATTATATTTACTTTTATTATTCTTTCCTTTATTTTTTCATATTTGTATATAATTTTTTATGTATAATCTAGTATTTTACTATGTTTTTCTATTTCTAATAATCTTATTGAACCAAGTAATTTTTTCATTAAATAAAATCGTATATTTTATTTATTTATATATTATCAATATAAATTTTATTATGTTGATTATGAAAATAAGACATAGAGAGTAAAAATTCTTTACATAATAATTATATAATAAAATATTTTTTATCATAATTATATTTTCCAAATTTTTATTATATTTAGTTTTATTTATATGTTTTCTATAAGAATTTTTTACAAATAACTTTTTTCGTGTTAGAGTTTTTTATAAATATTTTCAGTTTTATTTACAAAAGCAAATTTTTTAAAATCAATTTATTTTGATTATTGATATTAGATGAATAAAAAAAGATAATTACTAAATAAATTTACCTACTTTACAAAATACTGCATTCTCATATAAACAAAGTATTCTTAATAGTGTACGCAATTAACGATTTAAAATATTTTAAAATGTACACACACTACAAGTATTATATTTTTAATAAAAAATTCTATAATTAAATATAAGAATTTATATTTTTAATGAGAAAACAAAATTAAGGCGTACTACGTCTTCAAAAATTATTTTTCTATAAACAGAATTTATTTTTTTACACTTTTTTATTGTTTGATTGAGTATCTCTAGATTATTCTCTATTTTAATAGCTACTTATTATCATTAATCAACTTTCAAACTTAAAAGATAAATCATAAAATATCTCATCTTCATTAAACAAATCAATAAAAGTTACTTTATATTAATGTCTATTATCATATTCTGTTTATTTGAAGTTTTTATATAAATAATACATATATTATATAATCTAAATTAATACATATAAATCCACTTATAATTATTAATTAATTATCACACAATGAACATCACCAAATTAATAATTCTATTTATTTGTAAAGATAAAAAATTACCTAATAATTAGAATTTACTATTACTTATTAATGGTATACTCTCTCTACAATTATTATTACATAGTTAATTTATTGAATTTCAAATTTCCTTATTCCTATCATTTTATTATTCTTTATATCCTTTAATTAACTTTTCTATTGTTTGTTTTATTATAGTTTATTTTTTAAATAATATTTTTTATATACATATTAAATATTTAACATCTGTTTAAAAATTAAGCCATTTTCAATTAAATTTCCCCCCCTCCCCACCCTCACCCACCGTCCATGTATCTAACGAAAGCCCCCGCCCTCAGAAACACGCACCGGGACACAGCGATCAGTTTATCACATCCCGGGAATATTAGCGGTGTGGTGATGGGCCATTTGATTGGTTGTGCGCTGTATTCCGTGGTTATAGACTCGCAGGAGGTCGATGGCAGATAAGGATCTCAAGGTGTAGCGAAGTATTCAATAAAGACTGAGCCACTGTTGGGTTTGTTCCTATTGGAAAAGCACCATTCAGGTCTGGATGTGAGGACAGGTACACTGAGAGTCGGATTCGATTCAAGAACCGTGGTGAACAAAATGGGAGTTGTTGTAAGCACACATTTAGCAGCAAGTTGGGTTCAGGACCACGGACAGCTCCAGTTGTCGCAGGTATTTATGAAAAATAAAACATGCGATTTCTTCTGTCTAAATTAACTTTAACCACAACATCAGTGACTACAGTGAGTAAAGGATCGGCGGCCTGGTCCCCAACATTGGTCTGAGACAGAAACCTTTTGGCAAATTCCAGTTGTGTCTCCTCTGTCCCCCTTTGTCACGTCCACTCATCACCCACATCAGTCCACATTAGTCCACATCAGTCCACATTAGTCCACATTTAGTCCACATTCGTCTATCCTTGGGCCACAGACGCATAGCTACACGGCTTTAATCAGGCTCCAAAGTGAAGTAACCACAGCCAATTATCTCAGCAGCCAAAGACTCATACTCACAGTTTAAGGTTACGGGTTATTATATTGTTATCCTGATGTAAACGGTAACTGTTCGGACTCTGTGGATGTAAACACCTAAAATTGTCGGGTGAAATTGTACACAATCATCAGAGAATAAAACTCAAATATTTTAACAGCGACCCGGAGAATATAGATATTATTGTCTCCTCTGGTGCAGAAGTGAAAACATTATCCACAGTGAAACCCAAGAGGCAGAGCGTTACAGGGATGCGGAGGGCCCTTGACCTGTATATGGCACGGTACAGCGCGGTTTCAGACTCCCTGTGCTTTGGTGGTTTAAGTGGCGCAGGTACGATTGGAGATGGACAGAGTCGTGTTTCAGAATGAGAAGTCTTCTGGATCTCCTCATGGACAAAAACAACATAGGGACATGTCAATCCTTAACCAAAAAGGATCCAGTGCTTTTCTCTAAATCAATAATACTACAAGGACACCACATAGGGGCCCTTTAATGTTTGATGGAAGACTTTGATATTATATGGATCACAGGTACAAAAAGTTACAGAGAGAGTCGTTAGACAAAACTGTACAAATTAGAATCCAAACTTTAGTCCGAGCGAAAAACTCAACAAATAAAAATAAACTATAAAATAATAAAATAAAGAGGACGGTTTTTACAGACGCTGGTTTTTTACAGTTTTAACAGACGCTGGTATTTACATTTAACAGACTCAGGTTTTTACAGACCAGGTATTACAGTTTTTTACAGTTTTTTTACAGACGCAGGTTTTTACAGTTTTTGCAGACGCAAGGTTTTTACAGACGCAAGGTTATGGGGTTTATTACAGTTTTTACAGTTTTATACCAGACTGCAGGTATATTACAGTCGCAGTTATTATAAACAGTTTATACAGACGCAGGTTTTAACCAGATACGTTTGGGATTGCGGGTTAAAGATGACTGAAGCGTGTAGAAACAGCAGTATTCCAGTGGATTGTGAGACTGCACTAAGTCGGGAGTACCTAAATCTTCTGTTTTAAATAACCCATTTTACCATTCATGTTTTGTAAAAGAAAAACCTTATTGAGTCACTTTCCGTTTATACTGCCATCATTTTGTTGATCCACATAAAGACGTAAAACAGGTTTGAGCAAAGTAGGAGAGCAGCTCAAGAACCGAAAGAAGAATCTGTCACATAGATTCAACGAATGGTGAAGTTAGGTGCAGTCAGCTTTAACGTGAGGTGGAAGTGAACCCGGAAGTGGTGCTTGTTTTCACAATCGAGTTCTTATGTTGTTTAGCCTCATCTGACCAGCACGAGCCGTTTCCCAACTCGTTAATGGAAGCAGACTTCTTAGGAGGTCAGGCCGAAACTCAGCAGGGTGGAGCCATAAAAATGTCCGACCGCAGACAACCCGGGCTCAGTCAAAAAACCATGGAAAGATCAGAGTCCAACGACCGCACGAGCGAGGAGGCGAGCGGCCAGAGACGTCTGGAGTCTCGCTTCGTCATTAAAATTTAATCTTATATTGAAAATGAAGTTAAAGACATAGGAAACTACATCAACATCTAGAGAGAAACCACAAGTTCATCATTCTCAAAGCAAAAAGGTCCTGGGTTCCTCCCCGTGTCTGCTTGGTTTTCCTCCATGAGTGCTACCAGTTTCCCCAACCACTAAAAAACATTACAATAGTCAGATAGTAGTGAGTGAATGGAGGGTGTTTGGTCGGAGGCTTTGATGGACCAGTGTGTTCTAGTCTCGCTTCATCACCGTGTGGAGAGAATGGAACTATATCTGAACCTGTGTCTGTACCTTGGTCTGTTAAAATACGCTACATAAAGAAACACCACTATTTTCGTTTTTTCAGTTTTTATCTGACCTTTACCTTTTACCATCGCTGGTGTTGTTCACTCCTGATATTTTTGGTATAAATTGTTGTTACAATGTAATAATCATTTTTACCTGTAGTAACGCCACCATCGTACTGTAAATCCTTGTACATCAATGATTTGAGAATCGGGTTGGACTAAAGAGATCTTCTTCCCTCTCCCTTTGAGGCAGAATCATGTTTAAATGCAGTAAACAGTGTACATTAACTTTGTCCTTATCTTTCTGCACTGTGTGTCTGTTCCATTGCCTGAAATAAATAAATAGTAATAATAATAATAATCACCAGGAGTGTCCCTCTGAGTTTTAAGGATCTATTTTGGAGACAGGGGGCTATCATACATGTTTTTAGTGGTAGAGGAGACCGAAGCACCTGGAGGAAACCTGCGCAGACACAGGGAGAACGTGCAAACTCCACTCAGATTGATTCCACCTCCAGAAAGAGCCAAAGTCAGGAAGTGGAATGTTTTCAGCTCTCAGCCCAAAGCCTCTAACGGAGACTCTTTCTTACCTGAAAACTTGTATTCTTAGTTAGATCTTCCCCTTAATAAGCCTGATCTGGGAAAACATTTAACTTTAGAAACAGACTCTTGGGACAAACAAAATGCATTATTATTATTATTAAATGAGGTATCCCAGCTTTAATAGAAACTATAGTAAAACCAAACATGTCTTTCTTTTCTCTAGACTCAGCGGTTTCTCCAACTCCTCAAAGTTTCTTTTTCCTACATTTAAAAAACACAAATCCAGACCATGTGCACTCCGTCAGGACCAGGCAGCTGCTGGGCCCGGAACCAGCCTCATGCGCGGTGTTGTACTGCCCCCTCCTGGCCACAGAGTGAACTGAGACTGGCACAACTTGAGGTCATCCAGATTTATTACAGCGACAGTAAAAAGCTGAAGGAGTGCCCTTTTGCAGAGAGGCCGTTCTTCTCTTGGATCTGAGCTCGCTGAAATAATGAACGCTGCGGCAAAGGACCATGTGACATCAGCAGCACGTGTTGGACTCCAATCCCCTGACTCTACAAACTGTCGCAGAACTACAGGTCCAGGAGTTACATCTGACCAGACAACAAGGTTTCATCATTTATTCAAAATATCACACTCTTGTGAATCGGAAAACCATTTATAATCCATCCCTTTTCTTCCGCTTCATCCGCTGCCGGGTCGCGGGTTGTTTATAATTTTGTCCATAAATAAAACCGATGCAGAACGCCACAAAAGCAGTTTTCTGAGGAAGGTTTCTGCTCGTTGCATCAGGCGACTACATAGTGCTTAGATGTTTATAAAAGTAACACTGGCTGCACAAAAACACATTCTGAGAAAACTCTCTTCGAGGAAAAAGCAAAAACATAAGATTCAGCCAAAAAACTCCCAACGAAGAAGTTTGAACATTTTGAAACATAAACACACAACAAATAAATAAATACTTTTAGTCAATACTTCTGTTCATATAACACTGATTGCAGCAGCAGTAGTTTAGGCTCCTAGTGTTTTAGGACAGTGTGTTATGAGTTCAAATCCCACATTTCTATAGCTGCAGTATATTACAATAATCATTTATACAAACTGATTGTTGTGGTTCTTTTGAAAGACAAGTTTAGATCTATGTCTCTGCTGATGATACTTCCTTTATATACGTAAAAGGTCAGGGATAGGGTTAGGGTTATATACGTATAAGGTTAGAATTAGGGTTATATACGTATTTTGCAGATGCAGTCGGGTAAACAGTTGTAAACGAAGGGGGTTAAAGCCCAAAAAGAGTTTGCTTCGTCCAACTCTGTATTTTACAAATCTAACACCTGCATCTTGTTTTGTTCTGTCTGCAGGATTACTTTCTTACTCGGGTAAATACAAAAATACAAAATTCAAAGTATCCTGAGTAACCTGACTGGATTTGTGGCACAGAAGTGATTTATAACCAGGCTGTGTCTCGGCGGCGTCACGGCGGCGTCACGGCGGCGTCTCGGCGGCGTCTCGGCGGCGTCTCGGCGGCGTCTCGGCGGCGTCTCGGCGGCGTCTCGGCGGCGTCTCGGCGGCTAGTGCTGCGCCGTCGATTCAAGGTTCTGTGGCTTTTCCTTTGGGGGCGGGGCCTTGATTTCCGTCACTCATTTTGTATTTAAAAAACGCACTAATCTGAGTCTCGCTGCTGAGAGAAGAGCAGGACAAAGGGACGCTGTCACAGCTCGTCGTGGACCTGTCGGCGCTTCCATCGGGGGTGCTCGGTGACGTAGGCCGCCGCCTCCAGCACCATCCGCATAAACTCCTCCACATCAAAAGTGTAGTTGGTGAACTTTGGATGGTCTCCCAAAGTCGGGTGGTGTCCCTAAAATATCAGAGACCAATCATTACAGTGCGTCCCTTTAACTCTGCGGCGTCTGTAGCGATGCAGACATTTTGTTAAATAACACTGAAACTGACAACGCTCCTGATCCCAGGGAGTTTATGTGAACAGCAGAAAGAGGGCGGTAAAGGCTGTGGTCAGAACAGAGGTTATGGACTTTTTATTTTAACTCCCTCAAGTTTTAGTAAATATTGAAAAATAGACTAGATTTCCTCGCTCTTTTTAATTATTATTATTAATTATATTTATGATTTTAATGTTTCTTTTGTTTTGTTCAGTCCTTTGAGTTGCCGTGTGTATAAACTGTGCTATCCAAATAAACTTGCCATTCACCAAAACACTGTGATCATTTAATCTTTTATTTCATCTCTGGTCTGATCGTTTTGCTTTTGGTTCAGTGTTTATTCAAATGTGGCCGATGTGAGAAAAAGTACTTTCTTTTAAACAGGTTTCAGATAATCACCTTTAACATCTGAATAATAAAGGTTTAAGTAACATTTAAAACGAGGGAACTTTTCACACTGCCCAACAGTAACAAACACAGAAGAAAAACATGGTTTATGTGGACCTGCACCAGGTGTGTCAGAACCAGGTGTGTCAGTACCAGGTGTGTCAGTACCAGGTGTGCTAGTACCAGGAGTGTCAGTACCAGGAGTGTCAGTATCAAGTGTGTCAGTACCAGGAGTGTCAGTACCAGGTGTGCTAGTACCAGGAGTGTCAGTACCAGGAGTGTCAGTATCAAGTGTGTCAGTACCAGGAGTGTCAGTACCAGGTGTGCTAGTACCAGGAGTGTCAGTACCAGGAGTGTCAGTACCAGGTGTGTCAGTACCAAGTGTGTCAGTACCAGGAGTGTCAGTACCAGGTGTGTCAGTACCAGGAGTGTCAGTACCAGGAGTGTCAGTACCAGGAGTGTCAGTACCAGGTGTGTCAGTACCAAGTGTGTCAGTATCAAGTGTGTCAGTACCAGGAGTGTCAGTACCAGGAGTGTCAGTACCAGGAGTGTCAGTACCAGGAGTGTCAGTACCAGGTGTGTCAGTACCAAGTGTGTCAGTACCAGGAGTGTCAGTACCAGGTGTGTCAGTACCAGGAGTGTCAGTACCAGGAGTGTCAGTACCAGGTGTGTCAGTACCAAGTGTGTCAGTATCAAGTGTGTCAGTACCAGGAGTGTCAGTACCAGGAGTGTCAGTACCAGGTGTGTCAGTACCAAGTGTGTCAGGACCAGGAGTGTCAGTACCAGGTGTGTCAGTCCCAGGAGTGTCAGTACCAGGAGTACCAGGTGTGTCAGTACCGAGTGATGGTGCAGGGTCCATAGTCCTGTAGAACCCTCTCTCACCTTGTCCTGGGGAAAGACTTTGTCCATTTTCTGCCAAGTCACGTATCGAACTCCTCGAAGTCGCGCCAGGTCCCGATAACAGCTCTCGTCCTCACAGTTATATCTGAGATCCACACTTTTCATTCACAAAAACATCTAAAGACTTTGATTCTGGTCATCAAGTTCAATTTAATCTGCGTCTGTGACTTTGCCTGTGTCCGTGTCTGCGTCTGCGCCTGTGTCTGTATCTATGACTGCGTCTAAGCCTGTGTCTGTGTTTGCGCCTGTGGTAGCGCATGTGTCTACGTGTTTGCGCCTGTGTCTGCGTCTGTGTTTGCGTCTGCGCCTGTGTCTGTATCTGTGTCTGTGTTCACGCCTGTGCCTGCGTCTGCGCTTGTGTCTACGCCTGTGTCTGCGCCTGTGTGTGCCTATATCTGCGTCTGTGCCTGTGTCTGCACCTGTTTCTACGCCTGTGTGTGCCTATATCTGCGTCTGTGCCTGTGTCTGCACCTGTGTCTGTGACTGCGCCTGTGTCTGTGCCTGCGCCTGTATCTGCGCCTGCGCCTGTAGCTGTGTCTGCGTCTGTGCCTGCGCCTGTATCCGTGTCTGTGTCCACAGCTGCTCCACAGGTGTCACTCACAGCTCGAACACCACAGCCCAGTCAGGGAGGAACAGCAGGTGAGTGAGGCCGGCTCCGTGCACCGCGATGAACACGTCAGAGTTATGACTGATCCACAGCTGCTGCAGGAACGGGACATCCCTGTGAGGCAGAGGTCAGAGGTCAGACTGATCCACAGCTGCTGCAGGAACGGAACATCCCTGTGAGGCAGAGGTCAGACTGATCCACAGCTGCTGCAGGAACGGAACATCCCTGTGAGGCAGAGGTCAGAGGTCAGACTGATCCACAGCTGCTGCAGGAACGGGACATCCCTGTGAGGCAGAGGTCAGAGGTCAGACTGATCCACAGCTGCTGCAGGAACGGAACATCCCTGTGAGGCAGAGGTCAGAGGTCAGACTGATCCACAGCTGCTGCAGGAACGGAACATCCCTGTGAGGCAGAGGTCAGAGGTCAGACTGATCCACAGCTGCTGCAGGAACACATACAGTAGAGAGCAAAAGTTTGGACACACCCACCCATATCAAGAGTTTTTTATTTTCATGATTATTAAAACTGTAGACTGACACTGAGGGCCTCAAACCTATGATGAACTCATGTGAATTATGTTTGTAGTAAAAAAGTATGAACCAAGTGTAAACATGTGTTATATTCTGGTTCTTCAAAGTAGCTCCTTTTGCTCTGATACTGCTTCACTCTTGGCATTCTCTGGATGAGCTTCAACAGGACCTGAAATGGTCTCCAACAGTCTGGAAGGAGTTCCCATGATGCTTAGCACTTGTTGGCTCCTTCACTCTGTGGTCCAGCCCCAAAACCATCTGGACTGGGTTCAGGTCCAAAACCATCTGGACCGGGTTCAGGTCCAAAACCATCTGGACTGGGTTCAGGTCCAAAACCATCTGGACTGGGTTCAGGTCCAAAACCATCTGGACTGGGTTCAGGTCCAAAACCATCTGGACTGGGTTCAGGTCCAAAACCATCTGGACTGGGTTCAGGTCCAAAACCATCTGGACTAGGTTCAGGTCCAAAACCATCTGGACTGGGTTCAGGTCCGGCCCTTACACAGCCTGGTGCGGGTCTACAGCAATAGTCATGAAAAGAACTCAGTGAAGGAGAGAGGGTGTCCACACTTTTGCTCTGTGCTGTTTGTGCATAAATACAAAAGGCAGATCCTTAAACAAACAAAAAAGTAATAAACACTGAAAATAACACAGAAAAAGCATGTTTTATTTATAAAAAATAATATTGTCTCATTTTAAATATCCAAAAAGTCCAAATGTATGATTGCTGTAAAGGTGCAGAGCTCAAAGAAATTTTAAGAACGTCGCTGCAATTACAGTACAATTAATTCACTTTTGTCTTAATTTACTGAAACGTTTTATTAAGTCCTAAATCAAGTGTTTTTGAAAAGAGTAAATGTTTTAAAGAGCCACATTTACATGAGCTGTTGTTTGTATAACGCCTCAGAGTTGTGTTGCCAGATCAGAAGTGTGTTCTCTCCTTTTCACACTAACTCAGCTGTTCCTGATCCATCTGTGCAATAACAAATGTGCAATAACAAATGTGCAATAACAAATGTGCAATAACATCTGTGCAATAACAAATGTGCAATAACAAATGTGCAATAACATCTGTGCAATAACAAATGTGCAATAACAAATGTGCAATAACAAATGTGCAATAACAAATGTGCAATAACAAATGTGCAATAACAAATGTGCAATAACAAATGTGCAATAACAAATGTGCAATAACAAATGTGCAATAACAAATGTGCAATAACAAATGTGCAATAACAAATGTGCAATAACATCTGTGCAATAACAAATGTGCAATAACAAATGTGCAATAACATCTGTGCAATAACAAATGTGCAATAACAAATGTGCAATAACAAATGTGCAATAACAAATGTGCAATAACAAATGTGCAATAACAAATGTGCAATAACAAATGTGCAATAACAAATGTGCAATAACAAATGTGCAATAACAAATGTGCAATAACAAATGTGCAATAACAAATGTGCAATACACAGAAACAACCATGGTTTGTATGGTTTTTCTGGTGCTGTTTGTGGAAGAACATGACTCACTTGTATTTGAAGTCGACCACTTTTACCTCCAGCAACGGCACCGTCTTCAGGGCGTTCACCAGCTGCAACGAGAGAGCACACATTCTCTGATCAACGAGAGAGCACACATTCTCTGATCAATGAGAGAGCACACATTCTCTGATCAATGAGAGAGCACACATTCTCTGATCAACGAGAGAGCACACATTCTCTGATCAATGAGAGAGCACACATTCTCTGATCAATGAGAGAGCACACATTCTCTGATCAACGAGAGAGCACACATTCTCTGATCAATGAGAGAGCACACATTCTCTGATCAATGAGAGAGCACACATTCTCTGATCAACGAGAGAGCACACATTCTCTGATCAATGAGAGAGCACACATTCTCTGATCAACGAGAGAGCACACATTCTCTGATCAATGAGAGAGCACACATTCTCTGATCAACGAGAGAGCACACATTCTCTGATCAACGAGAGAGCACACATTCTCTGATCAATGAGAGAGCACACATTCTCTGATCAAAGAGAGAGCACACATTCTCTGATCAACGAGAGAGCACACATTCTCTGATCAATGAGAGAGCACACATTCTCTGATCAAAGAGAGAGCACACATTCTCTATAGGCGGCAGTAGCTCAGTTGGTAGAGCGTTGGCCTTTGAGCCAGAAGGTCGTGGGTTCAAGCCCCACTCAAGCCTTTCACCATCGACTCCCACTGTCTGCTGTCGTTGTGTCCTTGGGCAAGACACTTAACCTCTGGGAACAGCAGCCACAGTGGGGCGGCTGCGGCTGTAAAGTGCCAAACTGCCGTTGTGTCCTTAGGCAAGACACTTCACCCCCATTGCCTAGAATGAGTCTGGTGTGTGTGTGAATGGTTGGTGGTGGGAGGGGCCGATGGCACAGACTGGTTGCCTCGCTTCTGTCAGTCTGCCCCAGGGCAGCTGTGGCTACAGTAGTAGTTTATCACCACCGTGTATGGAGTGAATGAATAATGACACATGTGAAGCGTCTTTGAGTGTCCAAAAAAGCTCTATATAAAACCGATGCATTATTATTATTTCTCTGATCAACGAGAGAGCACACATTCTCTGATCAACGAGAGAGCACACACCTTCTTTACAACCGTTTACAGCAACTGTGAGTTTATACAGACCTTTAACACAGAAAGTCAATGACTGTTTCAGAGACTGAGAGAGAGAGACAGAGAGAGAGAGACAGAGAGAGAGAGACAGAGAGAGAGAGACAGAGAGAGAGAGAGACACACAGTGAGAGAGAGACGGAGACAGAGAGAGAGAGACGGAGACAGAGATAGAGACAGAGAGAGAGAGAGAGAGACAGAGAGATGGAGAAAGAGAGAGAGACAGAGAGAGAGAGAGAGACAGAGAGATGGAGAAAGAGAGAGAGACAGAGAGAGAGAGAGAGACAGAGAGATGGAGAAAGAGAGAGAGACAGAGAGAGACAGAGACAGAGAGAGAGAGAGAGAGAAAGAGACCTCACCGTTTCCTGGTTTAATATCCGTCTGTGTTCAGTGCTACGAGAGAGCAGCGTCACTCGAACTCTCCCCTGAACAGAGGAAGAGAAACTGTCGATACTTTATGTCCGAGGTCTTACACTTTCACTTTCACTTTCCTCCAGTCAGCGTTATTCATTATTAAACACAATTATAAAACTTTAATCCTTTAAACACCATCAGCCTCATTTCCTCAAGTGACTAATGTTAAAGTGACCAGAGGAGACCTGGTCCTAGTCCTGTTCCTGGTCCTGGTCCTAATCCTAGTCCTGGTCCTGGTCCTAGTCCTGGTCCTGGTCCTGGTCCTGGTCCTGGTCCTAATCCTGGTCCTAATCCTGGTCCTAATCCTGGTCCTAATCCTGGTCCTAGTCCTGGTCCTGGTCCTGGTCCTAGTCCTAGTCCTAGTCCTAGTCCTAGTCCTGGTCCTAGTCCTAGTCCTGGTCCTGGTCCTGGTCCTGGTCCTGGTCCTGGTCCTGGTCCTAGTCCTGGTCCTGGTCCTGGTCCTGGTCCTTATTTTAAGTTAAACTGGTTATTACATACAACAGTTGTACCTGTGCTGAGCTCAGTGGTACGTGCAGACGGTGCAGGACGTGTTGAGAGAAGGCTCTGAACAAACCGTCGCTGGAGCAGTGAGAGATCTGATCCAAGAACATGTTTTTATCATATGTTCTACACACGTGAAGTACACAATACACACAACACATATGTTCTACACACGTGAAGTACACACACACACACAACACATATGTTCTACACACGTGAAGTACACAATACACACAACACATATGTTCTACACACGTGAAGTACACAATACACACAACACATATGTTCTACACACGTGAAGTACACACACACAACACATATGTTCTACACATGTGAAGTACACACACACACAACACATATGTTCTACACACGTGAAGTACACACACACACAACACTTATGTTCTACACATGTGAAGTACACACACACACAACACATATGTTCTACACACGTGAAGTACACACACACACAACACTTATGTTCTACACACGTGAAGTACACAAACACACAACACATATGTTCTACACACGTGAAGTACACAATACACACAACACATATGTTCTACACACGTGAAGTACACACACACAACACATATGTTCTACACATGTGAAGTACACACACACACAACACATATGTTCTACACACGTGAAGTACACACACACACAACACTTATGTTCTACACACGTGAAGTACACACACACACAACACATATGTTCTACACACGTGAAGTACACAATACACACAACACATATGTTCTACACACGTGAAGTACACACACACAACACATATGTTCTACACATGTGAAGTACACACACACACAACACATATGTTCTACACACGTGAAGTACACACACACACAACACTTATGTTCTACACACGTGAAGTACACACACACACACACACACATATGTTCTACACACGTGAAGTACACAATACACACAACACATATGTTCTACACACGTGAAGTACACACACACACAACACTTATGTTCTACACATGTGAAGTACACACACACACAACACATATGTTCTACACACGTGAAGTACACACACACACAACACTTATGTTCTACACACGTGAAGTACACAAACACACAACACATATGTTCTACACACGTGAAGTACACAATACACACAACACATATGTTCTACACACGTGAAGTACACAATACACACAACACTTATGTTCTACACACGTGAAGTACACACACACAACACATATGTTCTACACATGTGAAGTACACACACACACAACACATATGTTCTACACACGTGAAGTACACACACACACAAACTTATGTTCTACACACGTGAAGTACACACACACACAACACATATGTTCTACACACGTGAAGTACACAATACACACAACACATATGTTCTACACACGTGAAGTACACACACACAACACTTATGTTCTACACATGTGAAGTACACACACACACAACACATATGTTCTACACACGTGAAGTACACACACACACAACACTTATGTTCTACACACGTGAAGTACACACACACACAACACATATGTTCTACACACGTGAAGTACACAATACACACAACACATATGTTCTACACACGTGAAGTACACACACACACAACACTTATGTTCTACACACGTGAAGTACACAATACACACAACACATATGTTCTACACACGTGAAGTACACACACACAACACATATGTTCTACACACGTGAAGTACACACACACACAACACATATGTTCTACACACGTGAAGTAAACAAACACACAACACTTATGTTCTACACACGTGAAGTAAACAAACACACAACACTTATGTTCTACACACGTGAAGTACACACACACACAACACTTATGTTCTACACACGTGAAGTACACACACACACAACACTTATGTTCTACACACGTGAAGTACACACACACACAACACTTATGTTCTACACACGTGAAGTACACACACACACAACACTTATGTTCTACACACGTGAAGTACACACACACAACACATATGTTCTACACACTTGAAGTACACACACACACAACACATATGTTCTACACACGTGAAGTACACACACACAACACATATGTTCTACACATGTGAAGTACACACACACAACACATATGTTCTACACACGTGAAGTACACACACACACAACACATATGTTCTACACACGTGAAGTACACACACACACAACACATATGTTGTACACACGTGAAGTACACACACACACAACACAAACACACAACACATATGTTCTACACACGTGAAGTACACACACACACAACACATATGCTCTACACACATGAAGTAAACAAACACACAACACATATGTTCTACACACGTGAAGTACACACACACACAACACATATGTTCTACACACGTGAAGTACACACACACACAACACATATGTTCTACACACGTGAAGTACACACACACACAACACATATGTTCTACACACGTGAAGTAAACAAACACACAACACATATGTTCTACACACAACACATATGTTCTACACACGTGAAGTACACACATCATCAAACACACAAAACACACAACACATATGTTCTACATACGTGAAGTACACAATACACATCCTCAAACACACAACACAAACATCAAACACACAACATTGACACTGAAAATCTACTGAGAAAACATTTATGACATCTCAGGTTTTCCTGCAGGTGCTCCGGTTTCCCCTACCACAGTAACAATAGTGTACAACAGTGTGTGTGTGTGTGTGTGTTGTTTGTGCGACTGTGGGACAAAGGGACAGGAGTGATGTGTTCATGAACTGTACGACTCTGCTGTTGTTGTGTCCTTGGGCAAGACACTAAACCCCACGTTGCCCAGACTGTGCCCCTACTGACAGACCTGGACCCACCCAGACCTGGACCCACCCAGACCTGGACCCACCCAGACCCAGACCTGGACCTGGACTCACCCTGACCCAGACCTGGACCCACCCTGACCTGGACCCACCCTGACCCAGACCTGGACCTGGACCCACCCTGACCCAGACCTGGACCTGGACTCACCCTGACCCAGACCTGGACCCACCCTGACCCAGACCTGGACCCACCCAGACCTGGACCTGGACCCACCCTGACCCAGACCTGGACTCACCCTGACCCAGACCTGGACCGACCCTGACCCAGACCTGGACCCACCCTGACCCAGACCTGGACTCACCCTGACCCAGACCTGGACCCACCTCGACCCAGACCTGGACCCACCCTGACCCAGACCTGGACCCACCCTGACCCAGACCTGGACCCTGACCCAGACCTGGACCCACCCTGACCCAGACCTGGACCCTGACCCAGACCTGGACCCACCCAGACCCAGACCTGGACTCACCCTGACCCAGACCTGGACCCACCCTGACCCAGACCTGGACTCACCCTGACCCAGACCTGGACTCACCCTGACCCAGACCTGGACCCACCCAGACCCAGACCTGGACTCACCCTGACCCAGACCTGGACCCACCCTGACCCAGACCTGGACTCACCCTGACCCAGACCTGGACTCACCCTGACCCAGACCTGGACCCACCCAGACCCAGACCTGGACTCACCCTGACCCAGACCTGGACCCACCCAGACCCAGACCTGGACCCACCCAGACCCAGACCTGGACTCACCCTGACCCAGACCTGGACCCACCCAGACCCAGACCTGGACTCACCCTGACCCAGACCTGGACCCACCCAGACCCAGACCTGGACCCACCCAGACCTGGACCCACCCTGACCCAGACCTGGACCCACCCTGACCCAGACCTGGACCCACCTCGACCCAGACCTGGACCCACCCTGACCCAGACCTGGACTCACCCTGACCCAGACCTGGACTCACCCAGACCTGGACCCACCCTGACCCAGACCTGGACGAATAAAGAGGTCGATAAAGAATGAATGAAAAAGGACCAAAAATACATCCATCCATTTTCTTCCGCTTCATCCGTTGCCGGGTCAGGGGCCGTTGCTAAAAATACTGAAAAGCACTGACTGAACCAGAACTGGGAGAGACTCGTTAGATGGGGCCGATGGCATAGTTTAATATTTGTGTATGTTTTAGTGTAGTTTGAAAGTCAGGGACCCCAGCTTTAATATCACTTTGTTGATAATAATAACTCACCAGAGGAGTGTTGTAAAAAAGTCCATATCTCATTCTGGGGAGGAGGGAAAAGACGACATCCTTGAAGCAAACCTAAGAACAGTGAATATAGCTCAGTGTTTCAGAGAAGCCTTTTTGAAACAAGATTATACTTTAAAATAAATACACCACTTTGCAATTACTTTGACAATTACTCTCACAAGCTTCACAAGCTACAGGCGACGACAACAACATCACACAATCATAACATCATTCAATAAATATGTTTTATGGCACTTTTCCTCCGTGCTGTGGTCCAGGCTGAAGTGTTAATTTAATGTTTAATGTTTAATGTTGTGGTGATAAATACTTGTTTAGAGTCGTAGGTTTTCAGGTGGATGATGTCGAAGTCAGAGAAGGCCTTCCATGTTTCACTGAAGAGATCCCCGTAACCATAGTGACTCTGGGACACAGGACACACACAGGTTAGTCCTGGGTCTACGGCCTCAGTCCTGGGTCTACGGCTCAGTCCTGGGTCTACGGCTCAGTCCTGGGTCTTCGGCCTCAGTCCTGGGTCTTCGGCCTCAGTCCTGGGTCTTCGGCCTCAGTCCTGGGTCTACGGCCTCAGTCCTGGGTCTACGGCCTCAGTCCTGGGTCTACGGCCTCAGTCCTGAGTCTACAGCCTCAGTCCTAGGTCTACGGCCTCAGTCCTGGGTCTACGGCCTCAGTCCTGGGTCTACGGCCTCAGTCCTGGGTCTACAGCCTCAGTCCTGGATCTACAGCCTCAGTCCTGGGTCTACAGCCTCAGTCCTGGGTCCACAGCCTCAGTCCTGGGTCTACAGCCTCAGTCCTGGGTCTACAGCCTCAGTCCTGGGTCTACAGCCTCAGTCCTGGGTCTACAGCCTCAGTCCTGGGTCTACAGCCTCAGTCATAATATTGCATATAATAATGTCATAATATCTGCTGAAAATGAGAATAATTTTGGAGTCAACACATTTCAATATTTGACAGTAATCCCCACTTCTGCCACTAGTTGTCAGTGTTTTATAGTCATCTCTTGCTCGGTCTTGGATCTATATCATGATTTAAGGTCAATGATTTATCCCAGTGGGAAACGCCCCCAAACCCCAAAAGTAGTCATGTGTTTTCAAACAGGAATGGACCAGAAGCCTGTAACCTCCAAAAATAAATTAGAAATATTTTGGAGCTGATTGAAGCTCTTGACAAGTACAGCGGCTAACAGACTTATACAGTTTAATGTTTCACATTTGCAACAATGGATAATGGTTGATAGTTAACACTGAGGTTCTGTACCGTGTCCCACATGACGATGTCCATGTCGCTGCTGAAGGAGTTGTTGATGTGTTGAGAGATGTAAAGGTTTACAAAGTCACAGAAGTGATGATACATGTTCACACCTGCAACAAACACAGCTGCTTCATCTGCTTCATCACTGCTTCATCTCTGCTTCATCTGCTTCATCTGCTTCATCTCTGCTTCATCTGCTTCATCACTGCTTCATCTCTGCTTCATCACTGCTTCATCTGCTTCATCTCTGCTTCATCTGCTTCATCTCTGCTTCATCTGCTTCATCTCTGCTTCATCTGCTTCATCACTGCTTCATCTCTGCTTCATCTCTGCTTCATCTCTGCTTAATCTGCTTCATCCGTTTCTTTTACCTGCGTCCAGCTTCATGAAGACGGTGGGTTTGTGGATGATGATGTCACAGTGCTGGTCATCGATGGGTTGAAAGTCTAACTCTGTGAATGTTTGGAGCTCAGCAAACCTGCAACAACACGACCCAAAGTGAAAGTAAAGTCAGGTCTGAGCTGAAGACGCTTCACACAAATATCACATGTGTATTGTCTACTTGGTCGGCTTTGGTTGGGTTAGGTTGGGTTAGGTTGGGTTGGGTTTGGTTTGGTTGGGTTAGGTTGGGTTAGGTTGGGTTTGGTTGGGTTAGGTTGGGTTAGGTTGGGTTAGGTTGGGTTGGGTTAGGTTGGGTTAGGTTGGGTTGGGTTGGGTTGGGTTGGGTTGGGTTTGGTTTGGTTGAGTATTGTTTATATGGAGACAAACATTTATCAGTCGGCTCTGGGCCTCTTTATGACGTATGATGAAGTGATGAAGCTAGTGCGAGTGGAGCTGGTTTAAACAAAAGGACCTTCAGTTAAAACTCCTCCTGGTGTTTGTTTAAAGGAAGCTTCTGTAAATGATGAAGTCACATGGTCTGAGATGGTCCAGCCTGGTGGTCACATGGTCTGAGATGGCCCAGCCTGATGGCCACATGGTCTGAGCTGTCCCAGCCTGATGGTCACATGGTCTGAGCTGTCCCAGCCTGATGGTCACATGGTCTGAGCTGTCCCAGCCTGATGGTCACATGGTCTGAGCTGGCCCAGCCTGATGGTCACATGGTCTGAGCTGGCCCAGCCTGATGGTCACATGGTCTGAGCTGGCCCAGCCTGATGGTCACATGGTCTGAGCTGGCCCAGCCTGATGGTCACATGGTCTGAGATGGCCCAGCCTGATGGTCACATGGTCTGAGATGGCCCAGCCTTGTGTAGCCACTTAGGTATTTCCTGTTTCATGGATTCTTTGACTATGACACTTGTTTATTTTACATCTTACAAAGACTTGGAGCAGTTTGGGACGAGGCCAGGACCAAGACTTCACAAAACAACTGTGGCTTTCCTGAAAATGACCTTCACTTTTCCAACACGTTTGAACATGACCAAGATTGAGCTTTTGAAACTAAGTCTTTCAGAACTGAGACTTCACCTTCATTCAGGGTTCAGTTCATGTCCTGAGGTTTGTGCGTAGAGTGTGGAGTTTTATTTTATGCAATCACTTTGATTAAGAGCCACTAAAGAGAGAAACTAGTCACATTTCTACTATTTTGGCCAATTTTGAGGTTATTAATCTGATTCTGAACTGCTGCCAGTGTTGACATGGATATATTATCTTTGGTCCTGTTTATGGTCGCTGAGTAATGATATAATGTGTATCTTTCCCAGACACCAGAGCTACAACGCTTTAAAAGGGTCGCGAGAGGAGATGCCACATCAGCGGGGTGAAATAAGCAGATACAGAACATGCATTTGGCAGAAGACTGGCTTTTTATTACTGATCCCAGTCTATCACTAATACGCCAACACCCCCACGCTCGAGCGCGACCCCACTCAGTAAATCAAAAGATGATCACAAACAGCCAACTGTGGCGCTCTCAATATGTGGAAACAAAAAGAAAGAGTTATTTGTATTATTATTATTATTATTATAATTATTATAGTATTCTTACCAGGACTGCAGTGGGCTCTGGTGCTCTCCTGCAGCCTCCAGCCCCCGTTTGTTCAGGCGACAGCTGCCCCCGATCTCCCCCTTCTGAATGAAATCATCTTTGTATCTGCAGAGTAAACACAACACGTTTCAAAAACAAGAATCTATGCATTTCTCTGCAAAGACACAGGTCAGGTTCAGACTCACCTCTCGTGGCCTCGCCGAGGGCTCCGCAAATCCAAATATAGGTTTGTTGCTTTACAGAATCGAGTGTGGCTGCTGCATTTCAATGAGGAGTCTCCCTGAGATAGATATAGACACATATATATCTACATGTGTCTATATCTATCTATACAGACACATTTATGTATATGTCTCTGTATAGATATAGACACGTATACATGTATACGTGTCTATATCTATCTATACAGACACATATACATACAGTGGGGCAAAAAAGTATTTAGTCAGCCTCCGATTGTGCCAGTTCTCCCACTTAAAATAATGACAGAGGTCTGTAATGTTCATCATAGGTTCACTTCAACTGTGAGAGACAGAATGTGGAAAAAAAATCCAGGAATTCACATTGTAGGATTTGTAAAGAATTTATTTGTAAATGATGGTGGAAAATAAGTATTTGGTAACTTCAAACAAGGAAGATCTGTGGCTCTCACAGACCTGTGACTTCTTCTTTAAGAAGCTCTTAGGCACCTGTTTGAACTCATCTGTATAAAAGACACCTGTCCACAGCCTCAAACAGTCAGACTCCAAACTCCACTATGGCCAAGACCAAAGAGCTGTCCAAGGACACCAGGAAAAGAATTGTAGACCTGCACCAGACTGGGAAGAGTGAATCTACAATAGGCAAGCAGCTTGGTGTGAACAAATCAACTGTGGGAGCAATTATCAGAAAATGGAAGACATACAAGACCACTGATCATCTCCCTCGATCTGGGGCTCCACGCAAGATCTCATCCCGTGGGGTCCAAATGATCATGAGAACGGTGATCAAAAATCCCAGAACCACACGGGGGGACCTGGTGAATGACCTGCAGAGAGCTGGGACCAAAGTAACAAAGGTTACCATCAGTAACACACTACGACGACAGGGAATCAAATCCTGCAGTGCCAGACGTGTCCCCCTGCTGAAGCCAGTGCATGTCCAGGCCCGTCTGAAGTTTGCCAGAGAGCACATGGATGATACAGCAGAGGATTGGGAGAATGTCATGTGGTCAGATGAAACCAAAGTACAACTGTTTGGTATAAACTCAACTCGTCGTGTTTGGAGGAAGAAGAATACTGAGTTACATCCCAAGAACACCATACCTACTGTGAAGCATGGGGGTGGAAACGTCATGCTTTGGGGGCTGTTTTTCTGCTAAGGGGACAGGACGACTGATCCGTGTTAAGGAAAGAATGAATGGGGCCATGTATCGTGAGATTTTGAGCCAAAACCTCCTTCCATCAGTGAGAGCTTTGAAGATGAAACGTGGCTGGGTCTTCCAGCATGACAATGATCCCAAACACACCGCCCGGGCAACGAAGGAGTGGCTCCGTAAGAAGCATTTGAAAGTCCTGGAGTGGCCTCGCCAGTCTCCAGACCTCAACCCCAGTGAAAATCTGTGGAGGGAGTTGAAAGTCCGTGTTCACTGCTCTCTGCATGGAGGAATGGGCCAAAATACCAGCTACTGTGTGTCCAAACCTGGTAAAGACCTATAGTAATCGTTTGACCTGTTATTGCCAACAAAGGTTATATTACAAAGTATTGAGTTGAATTTTTGTTATTGACCAAATACATATTTTCCACCATCATTTACAAATAAATTCTTTAAAAATCCTACAATGTGAATTCCTGGATTTTATTTCTCATTCTGTCTCTCACAGTTGAAGTGAACCTATGATGAACATTACAGACCTCTGTCATTATTTTAAGTGGGAGAACTGCACAATCAGAGGCTGACTAAATACTTTTTTGCCCCACTGTATGTGTGTATATAGATATAAACACATATAGATAGTAGTCTAACAGTTTGTGTTATAGACTACTATAGATATGACAAATAACATCTGAAGTTGTCCAACACATAATATACACAAAAAAGCGTTAAAAAGCATCGATCTGTTTTCCCAAAAATAACAATTGGAATTATTTTTATTGAAACTAACTTAATTACAACAAATCTTTACACGCTCACACACAAACAGACTGGTCCTCATGGGGACAGAGGAGGACAGACTGGTCCTCATGGGGACAGAGGAGGACAGACTGGTACTGATGGGACAGAGGAGGACAGACTGGTCCTCATGGGGACAGAGGAGGACAGACTGGTCCTCATGGGGACAGAGGAGGACAGACTGGTACTGATGGGACAGAGGAGGACAGAGGAGGACAGACTGGTACTGATGGGACAGAGGAGGACAGAGGAGGACAGACTGGTACTGATGGGACAGAGGAGGACAGAGGAGGACAGACTGGTCCTGATGGGACAGAGGAGGACAGAGGAGGACAGACTGGTACTGATGGGACAGAGGAGGACAGAGGAGGACAGACTGGTACTGATGGGACAGAGGAGGACAGAGGAGGACAGACTGGTACTGATGGGACAGAGGAGGACAGAGGAGGACAGACTGGTCCTGATGGGACAGAGGAGGACAGAGGAGGACAGACTGGTACTGATGGGACAGAGGAGGACAGAGGAGGACAGACTGGTACTGATGGGACAGAGGAGGACAGAGGAGGACAGACTGGTACTGATGGGACAGAGGAGGACAGAGGAGGACAGACTGGTCCTGATGGGACAGAGGAGGACAGAGGAGGACAGACTGGTACTGATGGGACAGAGGAGGACAGAGGAGGACAGACTGGTCCTGATGGGACAGAGGAGGACAGAGGAGGACAGACTGGTACTGATGGGACAGAGGAGGACAGACTGGTACTGATGGGACAGAGGAGGACATAGGAGGACAGACTGGTACTGATGGGACAGAGGAGGACAGAGGAGGACAGACTGGTCCTGATGGGACAGAGGAGGACAGAGGAGGACAGACTGGTACTGATGGGACAGAGGAGGACAGAGGAGGACAGACTGGTCCTCATGGGGACAGAGGAGGACAGAGGAGGACAGACTGGTACTGATGGGACAGAGGAGGACAGAGGAGGACAGACTGGTCCTCATGGGGACAGAGGAGGACAGACTGGTCCTCATGGGGACAGAGGAGGACAGACTGGTCCTGATGGGGCAGAGGAAGACTGGGACTGACCGGTCTCGTGGCCTTGCACAGCACTTTCATCTCTGAGAGTCGTTCTTTCACGTAACCAAAGTCCGCCTGTTTCCAGAAGACGTCCTGAGCTTCCTCCAGAGAGTGAGCCCTGAATAGAACAGACGGAACACTTCACAGATCACCATGGAAACACATGATAATAATAATACAATCGTTGGTAAGTAAAGTTTATTTATAGACGCCTTTCTCAGACCAGAGTCAGAGCGGTTTACACTTGTTACATACAATACAATACAATACAATTTATTCTTGTATAGCCCTAGGTCACAACAGAAGTCATCTCAGAGACTTAACAAAACCATTGAAATCACCAACACAGGTCAGAGAATCAACAGTTAAAACACATGAAGAATATAAAGCACACACAGAAGAAAATGTCCATACATGTTGTAGAATGCTAAAGTGTCCTGATCATCACCAATCCTTTCTGTTGGACACTAACTGTCCAACAACAGTTACATCAGTCTCTCCACACAGAGATGGGCGGGGCCAGTACAGGAGGCACAGACCTATTGTACAGGTTTTTAGTGGTAGGGGAAACCGAAGCACCCGGAGAAAACCTACACAGACACGGGGAGAACATGCAAACTCCACTCAGAAAGGCCTTGTTCCGACCGGGAACAAGGCCGGGACCCACTTGCTGAGAAGCGAGAGTGCTAACTACTCAGCCACCGTGCTGTGTATAGTGCTTCTTTTGAGTTTTATGGATGTACAGCATACAGTGGTGGTGGCCACAGCTGCCCTGGGGACAAACACACTCAATGGGCCAGCACGACGTTAATACATAACACATATACATAGACACACTTTAGAGGGCCCCTCCCTGCCTTGGGCCCTGGCTACTCAGTAGTGTGTAGAACCAGAAATAATAATAATAATAATAATAATAATAATAATATTATTATTATTATGACTCCTAACAGTACGTGTAGTCTTACCATCCTGTGTCCACTTTGGTGCAGACGGGAAATCCAAAACCCTTCTTGGGGTCACAGTCCTTTTCATATCCCCAACACCGTGGTTTGTCTTTGGCAGCTTCCTGAAGAACAGAACTCACTAAACACTGAAGCTGAAGAACAGAACTCACTAAACACTGAAGCTGAAGAACAGAACTCACTAAAACACTGCAGGGACTGAAGCAGGACTTACTCTGAAAGGACACAGTGGGTCCTTCAGGCAGAGCTTGGCCACCTTCCTGTTGTTGTGGAGGAAGTATGGAATGTGCTCTGGGACCAGGGAGATCCTGCTGTAGTCCAGTCGGACCGGTCTGTGGTCCAGTCGGACCGGTCTGTGGTCCAGTCGGACCGGTCTGTCGTCCAGTCGGACAGGTCTGTGGTCCAGTTGGACCGGTCTGTGGTCCAGTTGGACCGGTCTGTGGTCCAGTTGGACCGGTCTGTGGTCCAGTTGGACCGGTCTGTGGCGGTCCTCCTCAGACTTCGACCGAAACACAAAGAAACAGACAGCGACGAGAGCAACCGAGAGCTGCATGTTCAGAGCCTCAGGGACGTCTGCAGGACACAGGTACGTATTTTTAAGTCATTTTAAGTCATTTCATGTCATTACACAAGAAGCATGTTCTGACTGTTGTGTGAAAAATGATACAAGAAAACTATTATAGAAGTCTGAGAAGAGAAACTAAGAAGCTTCATGGTCTAACATATTATTATTGATCAGTAATTTAACTGCAGCAAATAAATGTTATAGACAGTACTACGTTTTATTTTTTATGAATTCATTCATAAAAAATAAATAACTACTTTCTTGCACTTGGCCTGTTCCAACCTAATTCACCAAAACACACACATGTAGATCTGTGCTGTTTCTTCAGACTCAGAACATTATAACAGTTTAATTTCATAAAGACAGAATTAAAATGTAGCCTCCAAAGTTCATTCACTCCTTCAATGAAATGACCGTTTTATAAAAGTGTGTGAAAGAGTGTGTGAAAGAGTGTGTGTGTGTGTGTGCACTTGTTTTCAACTCCTGGTGGGGTCCATAACCTGAGATTCCACTCACGTCATGGGGACTGGTTTTACGTGGTGGGGCCCGAACACCGGACCCCACTGGTCCAAGCTTAATAATCAATGGGTAATGCTTTTCTAACGGTCCTTATGCAGTCTCTGTAAAAATATGGAAAGGACCCCTGGAGGTTTACTTTCCTGAAAAAAGTGTGTTATGTGTCGGAACCCTGGTGGTGGGTTGCGGGATATCAAGGAGGGGCACACTGGGGCAATTTCAGTCCAGCAGGCTGGAGCCAATCATGGAGCAGCACAACAGAGGAAATCAGGTGTCAGGCTAGAAAAAGGTGCAAGTGTGTGGTTCATTAGGCTGCAAGAAATCATGGAGGAGCACACTGAAGTGCACGCTTACAACCCACTGGTAAGTGCTGACTACAAGTCATGACTTCAAATTGTTATATAGAATGATTACAAATTATTTGTTGTTTGTGCAGCTTAGTCAAGAGTCCCTAATTGATGAAGTCGACTCAGATTCTGACAATTTAACTGTCAAGAAGAAACCTGTAAAAAAGTATGGAAAAAGAAAAATCAAAAACACTTTTCTTCAAGACTCGGAAAGTGACGAACCAAAGGCAAATAAGATTGTTATCATGCAGCTGCAAAAGAAGAAAAATGGGGGGCGAGTTTACAGCAAGAGACACTTCTGCCTCTACTGTTCAATGTCCTGCCACAAAATGTCCCGTCATTTGACTAGAAAACATGGAAATGAAAGTGACGTAGCCAGAGCATTGGCTCTACCTGTGAAATCTAAAGCACGTAAACTTCAGTTTGATTTGATCAGGAATAGTGGAAACCGTGAGCACAATGTTGAGGTTTTAAAGGCCGGCATTGGAACTTTAGTCCCAGCTAAACAGCCAAATTGCCCAGTGAAAATCCAGTGAGTTTTTGCACTGTATAGACTGTGGGGCATTGCTTAAGCGAAAGTCGCTGTGGAGGCATGTGGCCAGGTGCCGGCTTTCACAGAAAGATGCCCAGGCTAAACCAGGCTAAACCAGGTAGAAGTAGGGTCCAGTCCCTCTGCTCCCTAGCCCAGCCTGTACCGGAGGGCATCAGCAAAAAGCTGTGGTCTTTAATTTCGGCAATGCATCAGGATGAGGTCACGGGTGTTGTCAAAGCAGAAAAGGGGATTCTGAGACTCGGAGAGCACCTGTACTTAAAACACGGGCATGATAAGACTAAGCATGATTACATTAGGCAGAAAATGAGAGAAGTCGGTAGGTTAATTAACGAAGCAAAAACTGCAGGGAAACTGAAAACAATGAAGGATTTCTTTATTCCTTCCAACTTTAACCATGTGATTGATGCAGTCAGGTCTGTGGCTGGATATGATGAGGAAACAAATCAATACAAGACTCCATCCTTGGCCCTCAAACTCGGCCATAGCCTCAGAAAGCTAGCAGATATTCTTGAATGTGACTCAAAAATGGAGCATTGTGTTGATGAACTATTTATTAAAAACCTCCAACGAAGCCGGCTGCTTTTTGAGAAGAGGTGGGACGTCTGTGTTTCTTCTGCTGCCCTACAGACCCTCCGGCAAGCCAAGTGGAACACTCCGGACCTGCTCCCTCTGACTGAGGACGTTAGAGCCATGCATGCACATATTGAGGTATGTCGACCTGAATATGTGCAAACCCTAATAAGTGAGCCAACGTCTAAGCATTGGTCTAAACTGGCAGTTTTGACTCTTTGTGAGGTCATCATTTTCAATCGAAGAAGGGAAGGTGAGGTTTCAAAGATGCCACTGACAGCCTTTACCTTAAGAAGTAAGACTGGGATCCATTCTGACATTGCTCTGGGACTGTCCCAACTTGAGAAAAAGCTGTGTCAGCATTTTCAACGCATTGAAATTAAAGGGAAAAGAAGTCGGAAAGTGCCGGTTCTTTTGACTCCTGAAATGATTGCTTGGATGGAGGTGCTGGTGGAGAACAGAAGGGCCTGTTCCATCTCTGACCATAACCCATACTTCTTTTCCCGCCCGGGCGCAGACACCCACATCAGGGGATCAGACTCCCTACGCCAGGTAGCCAAAGAATGTGGTGCGGTGCATCCAGAGATGCTATCCTCAACCAAACTTAGAAAGCACATAGCTACTATGTCTACAGTTCTCAATATGAAAGAGAATGAGATGGACATACTTGCCAACTTCCTCGGCCATGACAGCAAAGTGTTGATGGCCATGGAGCAGGGAAGAGTGACGGAATTCGAAGGAAAGAGCCTCGACCAGATACAAATTGAGCCTGAAGGTAATTCTTTATATTATTAAAATATGTATGATTTTTTTCCCCTAAAGGCCACTTGTATTTTTATTTTCTGTGCGACAGGGAGAGCAGTAGAGATCCTCTCACAAACGGACGGGCTAAAAGAAACTTCAAGCGGAGAACCTTCAACCATTCATCCAGATGCACCCCATGGTAGTGGCAGTGCCCCTTCTGGTAAGTGTACCAGGTGGGGGATTACAGCCAGGCTGCTTGGTCCTAACCCTGGGAGTGTATATTGCTAATATATTTTTATTTCTCTCCCTAGAACGTTAGAGAAAGCCATGGTCTGCATCTGAGGTGAAGGCTGTGGAGAAGACCATGACACCTTTCATACAGACTGGAAAGGTCCCTGGGAAGTCTCACTGCCTGGCCTGCATTAATGCCTCACCAGATGACCTTAGACATCGGACATGGAGTGGCATTAAATTCTATGCCAAAAATAGAATCACTGCAATTCGAAAAAAAAATCTAAAATAAAATTCCTTTAAAAGAGTTGTTTGTTTTCTATTGACTGTTTTGTATTACTTAAAGTAGTCCCAGTAAAAAAAGATTATGTCTATGGGTCCCATTCTGAACGGCCCTGTCAAAGGGACCCACCAGGTAACAAAAACGTGTGTGTGTGTGTGTGTGTGTGTGTGTGTCTGTGTGTTGCTATGAGTCTTTGTTGTGACTGATGTCTGAATATTCTATAGAAATGAGCAGAAAACAAACACACACAAACACAGCTACATTGTGCCACAGACACAGACCTAACAGACTTCCCAGAGTTCTGACCACAGACACAGACACAGACCTAACGGACTTCCCAGAGTTCTGACCACAGACACAGACACAGATCTAACGGACTTCCCAGAGTTCTGACCACAGACACAGACAAAGACCTAACGGACTTCCCAGAGTTCTGACCACAGACACAGACACAGACCTAACGGACTTCCCAGATGTGACGGAGTAACCCCGTCAGCTCGCGGGTGAGAGGAGGCCACGGCGTGAACACGCGCACACACACGCACACACGCATGCACACACATACGTTCATACACGCTCATACAGATGTTGGTGCAGTTCTACACGGCCATCATCGAGTCCATCCTCACCTCCTCCATCACCTCCTCCATCACCTCCTGCATCACCTCCTCCATCACCTCCTCCATCACCTCCTCCGTCACCTCCTTCATCACCTCCTCCAGCACCTCCTCCATCACCTCCTCCATCACCTCCTCCATCACCTCCTCCGTCACCGTGTGGTTCGCTGGAGCCACAGTCAGGGACAAACAGAGACTACAGCGCATTGTGCGCTCTGCAGAGGAAGTGATCGGCCGCAGCCTTCCATCGCTGCAGGACCTGTACGTCGCCCGAGCTCGAGGCCGGGCTGGTCGTATCACAGCCGACCCCTCTCACCTGCACATGGACTATTCCAACCACTCCCCTCTCACCTGCACATGGACTATTCCAACCACTCCCCTCTCACCTGCACATGGACTATTCCAACCACTCCCCTCTCACCTGCACATGGACTATTCCAACCACTCCCCTCTCACCTGCACATGGACTATTCCAACCACTCCCCTCTCACCTGCACATGGACTATTCCAACCACTCCCCTCAGGCAGGAGGCTGCGGTCCATCAGGACTAGAACCTCCCGCCACAAGAACAGTTTCTTCCCCTCTGCTGTTGGACTCTTGAACACTTCTTAACCTGTCCCCCCGCCCTTTATAAAGTCACTTTACTGCCCATCATACGTCACTTTACTTCACTGTACTGCTGTCACCTTACATTGTGTGCACCATGTGCACTTGTATATTGTAAAATAGTAACTGTAACTCTATTTTAAATTTAAATTTATTCTTTAGAAGTGTTTTTTATTCTTATTTTTATTATCTCTTTCTGACTGTTGCACTGAGCCAAAGCAATTTCCAAGTCTGTGACCTCCCGTTACTTACGTTGGCAATAAAAATGATTCTGATTCTGATTCTGATTCTGATACAGACTTACCTGTTTCCTCCTGCATGTCTCTCTCATAGCGTCAGTCTAGGGTGCACACTTGGCTGGCGTTCAATCACTCTATAGTCCATAGTACTTCCAACCGGTCCAAAAGTATCTCAGTATTTTGTCACACGCACAACACAGCAAAGTTGGCCAAACCGAACCCCGCGGTCTTCCTTGTTTTTATGCGCCGAGAGTAGGGCGCACAAATGTGACGTCACGCGTCGGGTCACGTGGCACACGGATTTTGGTGAGAAATTATTGTATTCTATGATTTATCATGTATTCTTTCTGTGTTGGTTTTTATTTTCATTTGTGATAATATATTATGAATTTAGGAATTATGTTGATAATCAAAAATGTTTCTATTTGAAGAGAAATTGTTATTATTTGTATTGATTGGTTTGGGGGGAGGAGCTTCAGGGTATAAGGCAGGGCTGTCAGAGCCACAATGTGTGTGGAAGCTGGATGATGAGGATGCTGTGCACTGCTGGCACAACGCTCCAGAGCTGTACTCCCTGATGCCCTGGTGGGTAGTCTCTGTACATCAATCAATCAATCAATCAAATTTTATTTATAAAGCGCTTTTCATACATAAGATGCAACACAAAGTGCTTTACAGATTGGTTAAAAACAATCCCGCCGACCCAAGACCCCTCCCCCAGACCACCCAACAGACCCACCCCAAACCACAGACAAACACACACACGCGCTCATGAACACTCATACACACACACACACACACACACACACCAGTAAAACAATAAAAACATGATGAGAGACTTGGCAGGGTTCAGATGCAACCAGCTGAAAAAGCGTCATCCAAGGAGCCGTCTGCACCAGGAGCAGAGAGCCGCCCGTAGCCACAGGGGACGACACAGGACCCAGAGGAGACATGAAACCGAGGCCCCAGGCCCCCACCAGGTCCAAGAGTCCGACCCCCGCAGCCACACCGACCACTGCTCCCGGTGCAGAGGGCTCCTCCAGAGGAAACACTGGGTACACTAAAAACAATACAATAAGTAAAACACTAAAATGTGAGACTAAAAGGAACACACAATACATGAATAATAGCAATAGCAATATAATAAATAATAAATAATAAAAGATAAATAGAATGGAATAATAAAAACTAATCAAAAGCTACTCTAAAAAGGTGCGTCTTGAGCCTACTTTTAAAAATATGAACGTTCTCTGCGGCCCTGAGCTCCTCGAATAATAATAATGCATTTTGTTTGTCCCAAGAGGCTGTTTCTAAAGTTAAATGTTTTCCAGATCAGGCTTATTAAGGGGAAGATCTAACCTAAGAATACAAGTTTTCAGGTAAGGAAAGAGTCTCCGTTAGAGGCTTTGGGCTGAGAGCTGAAAACATTCCACTTCCTGACTTTGGCTCTTTCTGGAGGTGGAATCAATCTGAGTGGAGTTTGCACGTTCTCCCTGTGTCTGCGCAGGTTTCCTCCAGGTGCTTCGGTCCTCCTCTACCACTAAAAACATGTACGATAGCCCCCTGTCTCCAAAATAGATCCTTAAAACTCAGAGGGACACTCCTGGTGATTATTATTATTATTACTATTTATTTATTTCAGCAATGGAACAGACACACAGTGCAGAAAGATAAGGACAAAGTTAATGTACACTGTTTACTGCATTTAAACATGATTCTGCCTCAAAGGGAGAGGGAAGAAGATCTCTTTAGTCCAACCCGATTCTCAAATCATTGATGTACAAGGATTTACAGTACGATGGTGGCGTTACTACAGGTAAAAATGATTATTACATTGTAACAACAATTTATACCAAAAAATATCAGGAGTGAACAACACCAGCGATGGTAAAAGGTAAAGGTCAGATAAAAACTGAACAAACGAAAATAGTGGTGTTTCTTTATGTAGCGTATTTTAACAGACCAAGGTACAGACACAGGTTCAGATATAGTTCCATTCTCTCCACACGGTGATGAAGCGAGACTAGAACACACTGGTCCATCAAAGCCTCCGACCAAACACCCTCCATTCACTCACTACTATCAGACTATTGTACATGTTTTTAGTGGTAGGGGAAACTGGAGCACCTGGAGGAAACCCAAGCAGACACGGGGAGAACCCAGGACCTTTTTGCTTTGAGACTGATGAACTTGTGGATTCTCTCAGATGTTGATGTAGTTTCCATGTCTTTAACTTCATTTTCAAAATAAGAATAATTTAATGACGAAGCGAAGCTCAGACGTCTCGTGGCGCTCGCTCCTCGCTCGTGCGGACGTTGACTCTGAACTTCCTGGTTATTGACGAGCCCCGGGTCTGTCTGCGACGGACACTATTTATGGCTCTGCTCGAGTTTCGGCCTGACCTCCTAAAGAAGTCTGCTCTCATTAACCTTCGCGGCTCTCGCAGATCCATCCAAATAAGACCAGACCGAGTTGGACACGGCTCGTTCTGGTCAGATGAGGCTAAACATCAGAACTGAGATCGAGGCTGAAACAAGGGTTCACATCCCCCACGTTAAAGCTGATGCACCTAACTTTCACAATCGTTGAACTAATACAAATCTCTTTCTGGTTCTGGAGCTGTCTCCACTTTGCACAAACCTGTTTTACGTTTTCTGTGGATCAACCAAAAAGAGGCAGAAACTGAAAGTGACTCAAAAGGTTTTTCTTTTACAAAACACTGAATGTAAAATGTGTTATTAAACAGAAGATTTAGGTACCCCGACTTTAATGCAGTCTCACAATCCACTGGAATACTGCTGTTTCTACACCGCTTCAGTCATTTCTAACCCGCAACCCCAAAAGTATCTGTAAAAACCTGCGTCTGTAAAAACTGTAAAAACCTGCGTCTGTAAAAACCTGCGTCTGTAAAAACTGTAAAAACTGTAAAAACCTGCGTCTGTAAAAACCTGCGTCTGTAAAAACTGTAAAAACCTGCGTCTGTAAAAACTGTAAAAACTGTAAAAACCTGCGTCTGTAAAAACCTGCGTCTGTAAAAACTGTAAAAACCTGCGTCTGTAAAAACTGTAAAAACCAGCGTCTGTAAAAACCCGTCCTCTTTAATTTATTATTTATAGTTTATTTTATTTGTTGAGTTTTACGCTCGAGACTAAAGTTTGGATTCTAAAGTACAGTTTGTCCACGACTCTCTCTGTACCTTTTTGTACCTGTGATCCATAAATACAAAGTCTTCCATCAAACATTAAAGGGCCCCTCTGTGGTGTCTTGTAGAATTATTGATTTAGGAAAAGCACGGATCCATTTGGTTAAGCTGAAGACATGTCCCTGATGTTGTTTTTGTCCATGAGGGAGATCCAATGACTTCTCATTCTGAAACACGACTCTGTCCATCTCCATCGTACCTGCGCCACATAACCACAAAGCACAGGAGCTGAACCGAGCTGTACCGTGCCATTACAGTCAAGGGCCTCCATCCAAACGCTCTGTCTCTGGTTTCACTGGGATGTTTTCACTTCGCACCAGAGGAGAAATTAAATCATATTCTCCGGGTCGCTGTAAATATGAGTTTATTCTCTGATGATTGTGTACATTTTCACCGACATTTTATGTTTACATCCACAGAGACGAAAGTTACCGTTTACATCAGAAACATATAACTAACCGTAACCTTAAACTGTGAGTGAGTATTTGCTGCTGAGATAATTGGCTGTGGTTACTTCACTTTGAGCCTGATAAAGCCGTGTAGCTGCGTCTGTGGCAAGGATAGACTAATGTGGACTAATGTGGACTAATGTGGACTGATGTGGACTAATGTGGACTGATGTGGGTGAGTGTGACGTGCCAAAGGGGTCAGAGGAGACACATCTGGGATTTGCCAAAAGGTTTCTGCTCAGACCAATGTTTGGGAACCAGGCGCTCGATCTTTACTCACTGTAGTCACTGATGTTGTGGTTAAAGTTATTAGCAGAAGAAATCGCATGTTTTATTTTTCAAAATCCTGCGACAACTGGAGCTGTCCGTGGTCCTGAACCCAACTGTGCTAAATGTGTGCTTACACAACTCCCATTTTGTCACACGGTTCTGAATCGAATCGTCTCTCAGTGACCTGTCCTCACATCCAGCCTGAAGGTGCTTTTCCAGAGAACAAACCCAACAGTGGCTCAGTCTTTATTGAATACTCTTCACCTTGAGTCATTATCTGCCATCGACCTCCTGCGAGTCTTTAACCACGGAATACAGCGCCAACCAATCAATGGCCATCACCACACCGCAATATTCCCGGGATGTGATAACTGATCGCTGTGTCCCGGTGCGTGATACAGAAGTGCTGGGGATTCTGTTGAACATTCCGGAGGGAGAGGGAGGGGAGGGGGGGAGAGGGTTAGAGGAGGTGGGGGGTTTGAGGGGGGGGGGGGGGGGGGGGCTGTCTTACAACTATTGATATCCTCGCACTGCATCTGTAATATGATCGAAGCGAGGGCCGCGGCTGATGAGGAGGGTCATCCAGTCTTACACACCGCAGCTGCCAATCAACAAGTAATCACACAGACTCATTAAAAGATACTTAATGACCAGGAGTGAGTGGCTTAGCTCGGGATCAATACGTAATAGAACGGAATATGTGATCCATACTTCTCCTTTAACCTTGAGCGTGGTATTACAGATATATGAAATAGATAGATAGGTAGGTGGGTAGAGTCAGTGGGTAAAGATAGAGTAGGTGGGTATTGATGGATAGACAGATATGTAGATTGATGATAGATAGAGAAGGTGGGTTATAGAAGAATGAATAGTTAGATGGAAAGACAGATACATATAGAGTTGGAAAGGTAGAGTAGGTGGGTATACATTGATACAGTAGATAGATAGATATGTAGTTATATAGATTAGGTGCATGGGTATACGCGCTCCAGAGACCCCTGCATGGGTACATTGATAGATAGATGGCATTAAACTAAACTTTGCTCTTTTCCAATCCATTGCCCTCTGAATCCTCCAGTCCTTCCCTGTCCAGGAGCATTTGCAGCTGCCTGGAGCCGGACACGTGTAGAGTCACGGAAGACACGGGTGTTCTCTCTCTCGCCTCTTTGTGCTCCAAGAATAAGTGTCAAGTCACACATCGTGGTTGTATCGGTGTTGGCTCGTCCCCACAGCCCTCTGTAAGTGCACATGACATCATGACACCAGGAGAGCAGGGACGTGGTGGAGACAGAGCGGGGCGGGCGCAGCTGTGGTTCTGAATGAGGAGGACGGACTCTCCGCGCTCTGCTCGAGTCCAATCGATCCGAGCTTCGGGAGGAGCGGATGGAGCGGGGCTATCACTTGTGCATCTCCTTCTATCACTCCCGTTATCCCCGCGACCGGACACGGCTGGACTGTGGCTGCGACTCTCCGCTGGGACTTAGGCACTTTTCATCACTTTTCCTTCCCTCGGAGGTGATGGAGCGGGGGCGCGGGGGTCTCTGGAGCGCGCTGCTGTGAAGTCTATTTCTGTTTTATGCCGAGTTTGAAAGTGAACTTAATAAGTGGTTTGTGCGACTGAGGATTGGCTCCGAAGCTGTGGATTTCTCCTCCTCCAGAGCAGCACAACTGGAGCTGGACTCACGAACCCATGTGGTCACGGGGAGAGATTTGGGTAAAGTCATGTTTTTCTACCTTTCTATATAATGTGCTTTTTCAGGCTTTTCCACAAATATTCTATAGGGACGTGGTGGTGTTTTAGGGTCAGCAGTGGCTCCGATTATTGTGGGTTTTCTTTGATGGAAAAACCAAAAGCAACTCTCAAATGTTTCAGGCGCGACCCTTTTACGCGTCGCTGAGTCCAGAGGCATCGGTCCGTCCCTGACCGGGGATCGACGTGAACCGGGCCTTCACGGAGCAGGTTAAATACAGACCCCCCTCAGTGTCACGGTTATCGAAGGATCCGTGAGTGTTTCCCGCTGACTCCGCGTCTTTTGGAAATCTCTTTGAAAGAATGGATCAACGCGGCGGAGACGTGTGGGAGAGGGACGATGTGCTGACGGCTTTGGACTGCGCACATCCAAAAAGAGGGGGGTGCAGAGGGGGTAGGAGGGGGGTGTAGATGGGGGCTCACGGGAGGCGCGCGCACACGGGCCGAGCCGGTGCGTGCGTGTGTAATTACCTGGTGCATGTTAATGGGCGCAGTAATGAGAGCCAGCCCTAGTCGTGCTGTATTTGTTAGTCGTCTTTGTGGCTGTGGTCTTGCTCTGGTCCCATCGCAGTCCCACCGCGCCTGCATTTGTTCAGTCCTTTGTTAAAGCCTAATTATGATTAAGATCAACTTTATTGATCTGACACTGGAGACATGTGCACGTCACATTTGGCACAGATGGAATCACTCAGATTGTGTAAAAAGACAGTGTGCAAAGATGGAGAAATCTTAAACATTTAGTGTCTTTTTTGCATGATATATTACGCATAATTAAATAAACGGGGACTATTGCAGTGCGAGTTATTCCCACGTTATTTGTTCTCCTCCAAACGCACTCCACAGACAGAAGTGGCATTAGTGTGTGACAAAGCGCGCAGGAGGCCGGAGGAGGCAGCGCGCTGGGTCCAGGGACTTAATTCTCATTGACAGTCACATTAACACAGGAGCAGCTCTCTTAATCCATGGGAGATTAGGCTGTCTCACCTGACCCCATCACCCAGCAGCTGTCCTACGCACACATTTGGACACACACCTAACTCGGGACGTGCACGGCAGATTGGCTGTGTAAGTCCCAAAGTCATCATTTGGTTTTATCCCAAGGTATTAAATTGAGAGGTTGCAAATTGGATATTTCTCCGTCATTTAGGGGAGCAAAACCAAATGGATGTTTTCTATGTTTCTCTATGATCGAGTAAAGATGATGTCCGAGATCGAAGACATCTATGAAGACATGAGAGAACCTGGATCCTGCAGTGTGTCTCTGTCACTGTGGAAATGAACACATTAACCCCACAGAGCTCAATACAATCTCACACATACAGGTGGCACAGATAAAATGATCCGAGATAATATGGATTTGAGTTTTTAAAGCTAAACAAAATCTGTGTCTTCTCCAGAAAACATGCTGCCATTTCACTGTTGGACATTTGGATTACAGCGATAGGTCACACGGCTTCACACATTCAAGTAGTTTTAAGATGACCTCTAATTAGATAATTCTTTACCTATTTCCTGTGGGTCCTGGACACTGTTCTATCTCAGGACAAGCACTTTTGGTTCTTGAATCTCTCCCCCTCACTCCTCACAGCCTCCTCAGGCCTGGACATGTCTCTCCAGCCTCTCATCTGCTTCCCCCGTCTCCGCTGCTGGGATGACTGCTTTGTGAATGAGTGCTGCACGGGGGATGGATTGCACTGGCGTTTGTGATTCCTGCAGCCGGGACAGCGGGGAGAATAGCCGGAGCAAATGAGACGTAAAGAGAAGGGAGAGGGGATGAGGGGGAGAGATGTGTTAAATGACCAGTGCTGTGGCTAAAAACGAAGTTGGCCCCAGTGGAGTTTTCACTTTTTGTGTTGTTGCGAAGGAGATGGAGAGGTAAGAAAGGATCAGGAGGACCGGTGACAGCGCCACGACAGATTGGAGATCACCTACACACACCCTGGCATTAACAGATTGACTGTGATGAATGGTTTCTCCAGACAAGAAGGAGGAGGAGGAGGAGGAGGAGGAAGAGGAGGAGAGGGACATGTCTTCTTTCATGTCAAAAAATGAGGGGAAAAAAACTCCTTTCTATTTATAAATGACTCTGTCCTCTGCAGCTTTTCATCCAGGCCAGAGATGTTGGATTATAATGGAAGGATGTGAACGGAGCCGCGGATGATTTTCTTATGAAATTGAGTAAAGAGAAAAATCAGATCCAGGATGTCCTCAAACATGGAGTGAATGATGTCGTGTAGAACCACCACCGAACCACAGCTGCAGGTCGTGAACCCAGACTCTACTGCTATCACACACGTCTCCTCAGAATCAGACAGAAAACTCTGGTCCTCAGAAAGAAAGCAAACATCTGATTCTGACGACTTTGTTATGAATGTGTGTTAACGCTTGGACACGCGACAAAACTACTGTGAAATCAGTTTTAATTCATGCAGGAGTTGATACTTTAAGCGTTTTCTTACCTCAAACCTGTGTGGACCGCTCCGTGTGAAAGTCCACGTCGACCCGAGGCCAGCAGTGGGAAAGGTTGGCGTGTTGTTTAGACCCGTGTTGGCTTTTTACCATGGGACCATTGGCCATAGAATTTTTGAAACTTCTCCCTTTGAAAAGCGTGCCCCCAGGACCCCAGGGAGTCGTATGGTAACGGTCCGTGAGCCGAGTGGAGACATAGAAACATTCTCAAACACTTTTTCTTTACGAGGACAGTTTTTTAAAGGACAGAGAAGCCCAAACACTTATAAGATCCGTCACTCGTCCCCAACACTGTCGGTCTGCAGGGTGTAGATTCACCGTCTTGTCCTGAGCCTCGCGTCAGCATCGGCCCAGAAAACAGTTTGGTTTTGATTCTCTCTAAATTACTGCGATGGAAAAGACTAGACTGGAGGTCAAGTGAACAGGCGTGTGGTTTCAGCCCAGCAGCCCCTGTCACTCAGAAGTGTGGAAGGACACGGCCTTTTGGGTAAAAAGAACCTGTGTTTTTTATTATTGTTATTTTCAACATAGAGATTTTATACTTGTTATTGATGCTAGAGTTAGACATTTTGTTTTATTTTAGTTAGTATAGATCTTTTGATGCAACACTGACATTTCCCCGCTGTGGGAATCTTACTCTTTTTTGGCTCAGTGGGAATGACCGATTATGGGTCTCTGCAAACCAAGTCAATACAACTTCTCCCTTCAGTTTGTAAATAGTCTGCACCACACATTTAGATTCATAGTTTTAAAATGTCAACATATTCCTAGCTTCCTCAACTCTTGATTGCTCCAGAGACCAGAGACCAGAGACCAGAGACCAGAGACCAGAGACCAGAGTCCCGGTTTCCACTCAGGGGAAAACACATCGTTGTTGGTTCTTATCCTGGGCATATCTTTTTAATCATAACCATTTTTAGATTAGAAGAGAACACTTGCACCACTGCAGACGGTAAACACAGAATGATCACAGAAACTGTTTCAGCTTCTGCTCTGCTCAGAATCTATCACACCAGAGAATAGAAAGATTTGGATCCTCACAATGTTCGTCATTTCAGAGACGCAAAACCAATGGTATTAAAGAGTCCAATGATATTAAAGAGTCCAATGATATTAAAGAGTCCAATGATATTAAAGAGTCCAATGATATTAAAGAGTCCAATGATATTAAAGAGTCCGTAGGTTGATCTGACGTAAGCATCATGAAAAGATCTGATCTGATGTTATGTCTTCAGTGCGACCATTTTGTGAAGGCCGTGCATGTACACTGTAAACCCTAACTTCAATCCTACTTCAGATATCAAATTATTTTAAATAGATTTTTCCCAGTAAGTAGATATTACTCATTTATTGTTAGTTTATTTAAAGCTTGCCTATGTCACTCAGGGTTTTCTTTGAAATGAACTGTTTCTGTTCAAGTAAGCCTCACTTTTGACATTTTGATGTGTAGACTCTTTAATGAGACAGGTGTGGCCGTGCATGTGTCCGTGCATGTGGCCGTGCATGTGGCCGTGCATGTGTCCGTGCATGTGGCCGTGCATGTGGCCGTGCATGTGTCCGTGCATGTGTCCGTGCATGTGTCCGTGCATGTGTCCGTGCATGTGTCCGTGCATGTGTCCGTGCATGTGTCCGTGCATGTGTCCGTGCATGTGTCCGTGCATGTGGCCGTGCATGTGGCCGTGCATGTGTCCGTGCATGTGTCCGTGCATGTGTCCGTGCATGTGTCCGTGCATGTGTCCGTGCATGTGTCCGTGCATGTGGCCGTGCATGTGGCCGTGCATGTGTCCGTGCATGTGTCCGTGCATGTGTCCGTGCATGTGTCCGTGCATGTGGCCGTGCATGTGTCCGTGCATGTGTCCGTGCATGTGTCCGTGCATGTGGCCGTGCATGTGGCCGTGCATGTGTGATGGGATCTCCATGGGTCATAAAGGCAGAACCCATTCACCATTATTACTGTATTATACAGTAATATTCTGTATTATACACTTATTCATTCATTCATAAACTGCTGAACACTGACAGCTTCTGTATCTCACTCTGTAAACAAACTAAACCTCTTAATAATCGTGACTAATCAAGGAAATAACATCTGGTCATGAGCGATTAGATAAAAACTGATTCAAAAACCGGTCACAAACGGCAGAATGTGTGAACAGTTGATTCAGTTGTTTCCTTTAAGGGTAAACAGGACAATGTTCTACTTCCAGGTGGATCATCAAGACCATTGGTCCTCCCAACTGTCAATCATTCTGATGATTCGTGCTCGTCTGTGGAGAGGGCGGTTCTTTCCTAAAATGTGGGAAAATCCTCCTCTTTACCTTTACTTTAATCTCATTCTTTTGTTAAGTCACACATTCGGTCGATCTCATCATTGATTCTTCGGAGTCACTTTGAGGTGAAGCCTCAGTTTGTTGTGGATCCAGAACAATCAAAGTTCTGCTCCTCCTCCTCCTCCTCCTCCTCTTCCTCTTCCTCCTCCTCCTCTTCCTCCTCCTCCTCCTCCTCCTCCTCCTCCTCCTCCTCCTCTGTCACTGTCATGTCCTTCAGAAACAGGCTCGAGTCCCATTCAACAGCTCTCTCTTTGACTGACAGCTCACACCTGAAGCAGTAGCAGCAATAGCAGCAGTAGCAGTAGCAGTAGTAGCAGCAGTAGCAGTAGTAGCAGCAGCAGTAGTAGCAGCAGTAGCAGTAGCAGCAGCAGTAGCAGTAGCAGCAGTAGCAGCAGTAGCAGTAGTAGCAGCAGTAGCAGTAGCAGCAGCAGTAGCAGTAGCAGCAGTAGCAGCAGCAGCAGTTGCCGTCATGTACGACAGTGATTATTTTTCTTAAACATCTGGCTGTCTGCAGTAATGAACTCAGTGATCTCAGTGATCTCAGTGATCTCAGTGATCTCAGTGATCTCAGTGATCTCAGTGTACAGTAAGTGATGAACAGGAGCCTCCTGCCTCTGGTGCTCTGCTTCTGGTCATTACTAATCTTCAAGATTGATGGTAATGGTTTTAATCGGACACAAACCTGGTGTCCTTCAGCTCGACCATGTGTGTCGGCTCATGGTGTTTGGTTTGTTGGTTCCATGAAGAACAGTCTGTTTATCTGTAAATCCAACCTGGTCTGACTTTCTGGTTCTGTGGGTGGAGACCGCAGACCATCTGGCGCTGTGAGGCTAATGGAGAGCTACTGGAGAGCTACTGGAGAGCTACTGGAACTAACTTTGTGATGATTCTAACTCTGACCTGGAGTCACTGTGCAGGAGACTTTACTCTTTTCTCAGACAGGATCCTCAAACTATGACCTCTGTCTGAAATTGGACTTTCTATTTTTGTCTAACGTGAGAAGGCAAGAAGCAGTAACATGGTATCACATGGTATCACATGGTATCACATGGTATCACATGGTATAACATGGTATCACATGGTATCACATGGTATCACATGGTATTATCAGTAAATAAGCACCGAAGCGGACCCCGTCGCATTAAAACAGTGTTTTTGTCATGAAAACAGATAATTCTGAAAACCTCACGTGTGTTAAGAATGTTTGTGTGTAATGTGTCACGTTAACGTTTAAATGTGTTTTTGATTGATTTTGTGTTATGGAGGGGGGGGGGGGAGTGTGTGTGTGTGTTTGCTGCAGGTGTATGTGTGTGTGTTTGCTGCAGGTGTGTGTGTGTGCGCTGAAAGTGTGTGTGTGTGTTTGCTGCAGGTGTGTGTGTATGTGTGTTTGCTGCAGGTGTGTGTGTGTGTGTGTTTGCTGCAGGTATGTGTGTGTGTGTGTGTGTGTGTGCGCTGCAGGTGATGGCTTTGTAATGAAAACAGCAGCTCTGGTCCAGGTCTTCTTGCAGCTGAGTGATGTCACTCACCAGGACAATGGCCTCCCCGGGGACGGCCTCTTGCTCTGTGGGTCATTACTGTGTGTGTGTGTGTCTGTGTGTCTGTCTGTGTGTGTGTGTGTCTGTCTGTCTGTGTGTGTGTGTGTGTGTGTCTGTGTGTCTGTCTGTGTGTATGTTTGTGTTTCTGTCGGTCTGTGTGTGTGTGTGTCTGTGTCTGTGTCTGTCTGTCGGTCTGTGTGTGTGTGTGTCTGTGTATGTGTGTGTTTCTGTCGCTCTGTGTGTGTGTGTGTCTGTGTCTGTCTGTGTAATACATACAAGAAATGGACTGAGAATGTGAATCTTAGAAAACATAATATTGAAGAATGTCCCGTCTCCTCTCTGCCCTTCACAAAGATAATAATAATTATTATTATTATCATTATTATTACTAATGATAATAATGTATTGGTTTTATAAATAGCTTTTCAGGACGCTCAAAGTCTCTTCACTTCATTATTCTTTCTCTCCAAACACGGTGGTGATAAACTACTGTAGCCACAGCTGCCCTGGGGCACACTGACAGAAGCGAGGCAACCAGTCTGTGCCATCGGCCCCTCCCTCCACGGTGGCTGAGTGGATAGCACTCTCGCCTCTCAGCAAGAAGGTCCTGGGTTCGAATCCCGGTTGGACCAGGGCCTTTCTGAGTGGAGTTTGCATGTTCTCCCCGTGTCTGCGTAGGTTTTCTCCGGGTACTCCGGTTTCCCCTACCACTAAAAATATGTACAATAGGTCTGTGCCTCCTGTTCTGGCCCCTCTCCCAAAAATAACAATTGTAAACCGCTTTGAGACTCTGATGTGCAGTGAAAAGGCGGTATATAAATAAACTTACTTACTAAAGATTACACCACCACCAACCATTCACACACACACCAGACTCATTCTAGGCAATGGGGGTGAAGTGTCTTGCCTAAGGACACAACGGCAGTTTGGCACTTTACAGCCGCAGCCGCCCCACTGTGGCTGCTGTTCCCAGAGGTTAAGTGTCTTGCCCAAGGACACAATGGCCTCATATATGAAACTTGAGCAGAAAGGGGTGTATATTTTTAGTGTAGATTCCAATTAAGCAAAATCCAGCACAGATTTATGAACGTGTGAGGTCTGCACAGATCTGAGCGTCTGCAGCTGCGGCTGTTGATCAATGCTGCGCTCAAAACCAGTCTATTTATGAAAGTCACGCCTAGAAATATTCAGAAACAGTCTGTTTTTACGACAGCTCAGTCAGAAGGCCTGTTAGTGACACGCACTGAGTGTTTATTGAGTTTTCTTTTTATAATTTTGTTTAAAAAGAAATATACGCTAATTGAAGTATACACGTTTTTCCACAGTGACCCACTGCTGCACTCATCTCTCTTAAACTTTAAAAGTGAATGAATGAATCCTAACATCTCAGCGGTGGCTCATCATGAACCAGAGAAGCGTCTGTGGAATCTTCTTGTGAATGTGACGGAGCGATCTCAGTGAGAGAGAAAGTGGCCGTGATTTCACTGAGAAACTCTGGATCCAAACGTCTGAATGACGTGCACCGCATACGGCGAGTGCTGTGGGACCTCTGTGGCACCCGCTGCCCAAAGAGCCACAGCCCAAAGAGCCACTGCCCAAAGAGCCACTGCCCCAGAGCCACAGCCCAAAGAGCCACAGCCCAAAGAGCCACTGCCCAAAGAGCCACAGCCCAAAGAGCCACTGCCCCAGAGCCACAGCCCAAAGAGCCACTGCCCCAGAGCCACAGCCCAAAGAGCCACTGCCCAAAGAGCCACAGCCCAAAGAGCCACTGCCCCAGAGCCACAGCCCAAAGAGCCACTGCCCAAAGAGCCACTGCCCCAGAGCCACTGCCCAAAGAGCCACTGCCCCAGAGCCACTGCCCAAAGAGCCACTGCCCCAGAGCCACAGCCCAAAGAGCCACTGCCCAAAGAGCCACAGCCCAAAGAGCCACTGCCCCAGAGCCACAGCCCAAAGAGCCACTGCCCAAAGAGCCACTGCCCCAGAGCCACTGCCCAAAGAGCCACTGCCCCAGAGCCACTGCCCAAAGAGCCACTGCCCCAGGAGCCACTGCCCAAAGAGCCACTGCCCCAGAGCCACAGCCCAAAGAGCCACTGCCCAAAGAGCCACAGCCCAAAGAGCCACTGCCCCAGAGCCACAGCCCAAAGAGCCACTGCCCAAAGAGCCACTGCCCCAGAGCCACAGCCCAAAGAGCCACTGCCCAAAGAGCCACTGCCCTGAGCCTGTTCCCACAGAGAAGCACAGGGCAGGGGCTGAGACAGACTTGAGTGAGAGGCTTCTTGCACAAAACTAATAAAAAGTGCATTTCTTTGATTGAGGCAAAACAAAAAGCTGTGTGTTTACGCAGCGCAGGGCGGGTGAGTGAGTCAAGGGTATTTGTATAGCGCCTTTTGCAGGATCACAGAGCACTTGAGGGTCCTCATCATGAACGTATCATAATCTGTGAACGCAGCTGATAATATTACCAAAGTGGGAACATGTTTATTTTTGTCCAAATCTTACATTTTATGCGTGTTTGGGCGTGTTGTGATGAAGGCTGAGATGAGCGTACGCAGCACCTCCAGACTCGGCGTATACATGATGTAAGTTGCAGATCCTTGTGAGGCAGTACTTGGTCCTTGAAGTGGGCAAAGATATCTTGATTTTTAGTGCTGTGATGGGAGACCTCTGAAGCTAAGCAGAGCAGAACCTGGTTAGTGCTGTGATGGGAGACCTCTGAAGCTAAGCAGAGCAGAACCTGGTTAGTGCTGTGATGGGAGACCTCTGAAGCTAAGCAGAGCAGAACCTGGTTAGTGCTGTGATGGGAGACCGTGCCTAGGGCGGCACGGTGGCTGAGTGGATAGCACTCTCGCCTCTCAGCAAGAAGGTCCTGGGTTCGAATCCCGGTCGGACCAGGGCCTTTCTGAGTGGAGTTTGCATGTTCTCCCCGTGTCTGCGTAGGTTTCCTCCAGGTACTCCGGTTTCCCCTACCACTAAAAATATGTCCAATAGTTCTGGCATGTGCCTCCTGTACTGGCCCCGCTCCCATCTCTGTGTGGAGTGAGAGACAAATGCCCAAAATTAACAATTGTAAACCGCTTTGAGACTCAGATCTGCAGTGAAAAGGCGGTATATAAATAAAAACTTACTTACTTACTTACTTACCTCTGAAGCTAAGAAGAGCAGAACCTGGTTAGTGCTGTGATGGGAGACCTCTGAAGCTAAGCAGAGCAGAACCTGGTTAGTGCTGTGATGGGAGACCTCTGAAGCTAAGCAGAGCAGAACCTGGTTAGTGCTGTGATGGGAGACCTCTGAAGCTAAGAAGAGCAGGACCTGGTTAGTGCTGTGATGGGAGACCTCTGGGAACACCAGGTGCCAGAGTGTTGCGGCTGTAAAGGGCCAAACTGTCAGTGTGGCTTTTGGCAAGACACTTTACCCACATTCATTCACTGAGTCTGGTATGTGAAGGGTTGGTCAGAGCGGCCGATGGCTCAGATCTGAGTGTCTCTATCCATGCCAAATGTGACATGTAAATTTCTCCTATGTGAGATAAATGAAGCAAATCTTATCTTATCTTATCAGTGGCCTTGCTTCTGTCAGTCTGCTCCATGGCAGCTGTGGCTACAGCAGTTGGTCATGAGTGATGTCATGTCCAGAAACAAAAACACAAAAAACCAAAGCATTCATAAAATCTTCCATCATAGATTATCACAAAGAAAGGAGACCAGGATGAGACTAGGACACAGAGGGAGGAGACCAGGACAGAGGGAGGAGACCAGGAGGAGACCAGGAGGAGACCAGGACACAGATGTAGGAGACCAGGAGGTGACCAGTAGGAGACCAGGAGGGGAGGAGACCAGGAGGAGACCCAGGACACAGAGGAAGGAGACCAGGAGGAGACCAGGAGGAGACCAGGACACAGTGGGAGGAGACCAGGAGGAGACCCAGGACACAGAGGAAGGAGACCAGGAGGAGACCAGGAGGAGACCAGGACAGAGGGAGGAGACCAGGAGGAGACCAGGAGGAGACCAGGACACAGATGTAGGAGACCAGGAGGAGACCAGGAGGAGACCAGGACACAGAGGGAGGAGACCCGGAGGAGCCCCATGACACAGATGTAGGAGACCAGGAGGAGACCAGGAGGAGACCAGGACACAGTGGGAGGAGACCAGGAGACCAGGACACAGAGGGAGGAGACCAGGAGGAGACCAGGACACAGATGTAGGAGACCAGGAGGAGACCCAGGACACAGAGAGAGGAGACCAGGAGGAGACCAGGACACAGATGTAGGAGACCAGGAGGAGACCCAGGACACAGAGGGAGGAGACCAGGACACAGAGGGAGGAGACCAGGAGGAGACCCAGGACACAGATGTAGGAGACCAGGAGGAGACCCAGGACACAGAGGGAGGAGACCAGGAGACCAGGACACAGAGGGAGGAGACCAGGAGGAGACCAGGACACAGATGTAAGGAGACCAGGAGGAGACCCAGGACCAAAAAGGAGGAGGAGGAAGTAGTAAATAAGTAAACAAGTCGGAGAAAGTAAAGTCAGTAGTAGACACTAGGAGTAAAGCAGGCTGAAGGTGCAAAGGCGGAGAAGTAGTAAAGTAGTAGTAAGTATAAGTCAAGTATCAGTAAAGAGTAAGTAGTGTAGTAACAGCTGCAGACGTAGAGGGAAAGCAAACAGGAGGGTGTAACGAGGCAGCAGAGCGAGGGCAACAGGAGGGTGCCAGTAACAGCAGCAGCAGAAGGAGAACAGGAGGAGCAACGCGCAGGAAGCAACACGCAGCAGCAGGCAACAGAGTGAGGAAGGCAACCAGCCGCAGAGAGCAACAGCGCGCAGGAGCAAACAGCCAGCAGGAAGCAAACAGCTAGGCAAGCAGCAACAGGAGCAGGAGCAACAGCAGGGCTAGCGAGCCACAGCCGGATGAGCAGCCGCGTCGCACAGCAGCCGGAGGTGGCGCAACGAAGCAGCAGCAGAACAGCACGCAGGAGCAACAGCAGCGCTAGCTCAGCCCAACGAGAATCCGGAAGAAGAACAGCAGCCGGTAGCAAACAGCACGCAGCTGGAGGCAACAGCGAGCCTCGCAGCAGCTGCAGCTGGAGCAACAGCAGCCGAGGGGCAACAGCAGCAGGAGCAGCAAGCGAGCAGGAGCAACAGCAGCAGAGCAGCAGCTAGCAGGAGCAACAGCTGCAGCAGCAGCAGCAGCAGCAGGAGCAACACAGCAGCAGCAGGACGCAACAGCTTGCAGCGCAGCAGCAGCAGCCAGCAGGGGCAGCAGTAAGCAGCTAGCAGCAGCATAGCAGCAGAGCAGCAGTAGCAGCAGAAGCAGCAGCAGCAGCAGCAGCAGCAGTAGCAGCAGCAGCAGCAGCTCCAGCAGCAGGGCAACTGCAGCAGAGAGCAACAGCTAGCTGCAGGCGCAGCAGCAGCAGTCCTGGCAGCAGTAGCTGGCAGTGAGCAGCAGGTCTCAGCACAGCCGCTCAGAGGACCCTAGGAAATAAAGAAAAACAAAAATCAAACTTTGTTTTGTATTATATATTGTTGGTTGGTGTGAAATTAAAAGATTTAAGGAGTCAATCAAAGAGCGGGATGTGTCAGTTATTATTTATATTAGATCCATGGATGTGTCAGTTATTATTATAGATCCATGGATGTGTCAGTTATTATTATAGATCCATGGATGTGTCAGTTATTATTATAGATCCATGGATGTGTCAGTTATTATTATAGATAAAATGGATGTGTCAGTTATTATTATAGATCCATGGATGTGTCAGTTATTATTATAGATCCATGGATGTGTCAGTTATTATTATAGATCCATGGATGTGTCAGTTATTATTATAGATAATGGATGTGTCAGTTATTATTATAGATCCATGGATGTGTCAGTTATTATTATAGATCCATGGATGTGTCAGTTATTATTATAGATCCATGGATGTGTCAGTTATTATTATAGATCCATGGATGTGTCAGTTATTATTATAGATCCATGGATGTGTCAGTTATTATTATAGATCCATGGATGTGTCAGTTATTATTATAGATCCATGGATGTGTCAGTTATTATTATAGATCCATGGATGTGTCAGTTATTATTATAGATCCATGGATGTGTCATTATTATTATAGATCCATGGATGTGTCAGTTATTATTATAGATCCATGGATGTGTCAGTTATTATTATAGATCCATGGATGTGTCAGTTATTATTATAGATCCATGGATGTGTCAGTTATTATTATAGATCCATGGATGTGTCAGTTATTATTATAGATCCATGGATGTGTCAGTTATTATTATAGATAAATGGATGTGTCAGTTATTATTATAGATCCATGGATGTGTCAGTTATTATTATAGATCCATGGATGTGTCAGTTATTATTATAGATCCATGGATGTGTCAGTTATTATTATAGATAAATGGATGTGTCAGTTATTATTATAGATCCATGGATGTGTCAGTTATTATTATTATTAAGATAAATGGATGTGTCAGTTATTATTATAGATCCATGGATGTGTCAGTTATTATTATAGATCCATGGATGTGTCAGTTATTATTATAGATCCATGGATGTGTCAGTTATTATTATAGATCCATGGATGTGTCAGTTATTATTATAGATCCATGGATGTGTCAGTTATTATTATAGATAAATGGATGTGTCAGTTATTATTATAGATCCATGGATGTGTCAGTTATTATTATAGATCCATGGATGTGTCAGTTATTATTATAGATCCATGGATGTGTCAGTTATTATTATAGATCCATGGATGTGTCAGTTATTATTATAGATCCATGGATGTGTCAGTTATTATTATAGATCCATGGATGTGTCAGTTATTATTATAGATCCATGGATGTGTCAGTTATTATTATAGATCCATGGATGTGTCAGTTATTATTATAGATAAATGGATGTGTCAGTTATTATTATAGATCCATGGATGTGTCAGTTATTATTATAGATCTATGGATGTGTCAGTTATTATTATAGATAAATGGATGTGTCAGTTATTATTATAGATCCATGGATGTGTCAGTTATTATTATAGATCCATGGATGTGTCAGTTATTATTATAGATCCATGGATGTGTCAGTTATTATTATAGATCCATGGATGTGTCAGTTATTATTATAGATCCATGGATGTGTCAGTTATTATTATAGATCCATGGATGTGTCAGTTATTATTATAGATCCATGGATGTGTCAGTTATTATTATAGATCCATGGATGTGTCAGTTATTATTATAGATCCATGGATGTGTCTGTTATTATTATAGATAAATGGATGTGTCAGTTATTATTATAGATCCATGGATGTGTCAGTTATTATTATAGATCCATGGATGTGTCAGTTATTATTATAGATAAATGCATGTGTCAGTTATTATTATAGATCCATGGATGTGTCAGTTATTATTATAGATCCATGGATGTGTCAGTTATTATTATAGATCCATGGATGTGTCAGTTATTATTATAGATAAATGGATGTGTCAGTTATTATTAAAGATCCATGGATGTGTCAGTTATTATTATTATTATAGATAAATGGATGTGTCAGTTATTATTATAGATCCATGGATGTGTCAGTTATTATTATAGATCCATGGATGTGTCAGTTATTATTATAGATCCATGGATGTGTCAGTTATTATTATAGATAAATGGATGTGTCAGTTATTATTATAGATCCATGGATGTGTCAGTTATTATTATAGATCCATGGATGTGTCAGTTATTATTATAGATAAATGGATGTGTCAGTTATTATTATAGATCCATGGATGTGTCAGTTATTATTATAGATCCATGGATGTGTCAGTTATTATTATAGATCCATGGATGTGTCAGTTATTATTATAGATCCATGGATGTGTCAGTTATTATTATAGATCCATGGATGTGTCAGTTATTATTATAGATCCATGGATGTGTCAGTTATTATTATAGATCCATGGATGTGTCAGTTATTATTATAGATCCATGGATGTGTCAGTTATTATTATAGATAAATGGATGTGTCAGTTATTATTATAGATCCATGGATGTGTCAGTTATTATTATAGATCCATGGATGTGTCAGTTATTATTATAGATCCATGGATGTGTCAGTTATTATTATAGATCCATGGATGTGTCAGTTATTATTATAGATCCATGGATGTGTCTGTTATTATTATAGACCCATGGATGTGTCAGTTATTATTATAGATAAATGCATGTGTCAGTTATTATTATAGATCCATGGATGTGTCAGTTATTATTATAGATCCATGGATGTGTCAGTTATTATTATAGATCCATGGATGTGTCAGTTATTATTATAGATAAATGGATGTGTCAGTTATTATTATAGATCCATGGATGTGTCAGTTATTATTATTATTATAGATAAATGGATGTGTCAGTTATTATTATAGATCCATGGATGTGTCAGTTATTATTATAGATCCATGGATGTGTCAGTTATTATTATAGATCCATGGATGTGTCAGTTATTATTATAGATCCATGGATGTGTCTGTTATTATTATAGACCCATGGATGTGTCAGTTATTATTATAGATAAATGCATGTGTCAGTTATTATTATAGATCCATGGATGTGTCAGTTATTATTATAGATCCATGGATGTGTCAGTTATTATTATAGATCTATGGATGTGTCAGTTATTATTATAGATAAATGGATGTGTCAGTTATTATTATAGATCCATGGATGTGTCAGTTATTATTATAGATAAATGGATGTGTCAGTTATTATTATAGATCCATGGATGTGTCAGTTATTATTATTATTATAGATAAATGGATGTGTCAGTTATTATTATAGATCCATGGATGTGTCAGTTATTATTATAGATCCATGGATGTGTCAGTTATTATTATAGATCCATGGATGTGTCAGTTATTATTATAGATCCATGGATGTGTCAGTTATTATTATAGATCCATGGATGTGTCAGTTATTATTATAGATCCATGGATGTGTCAGTTATTATTATAGATAAATGGATGTGTCAGTTATTATTATAGATCCATGGATGTGTCAGTTATTATTATAGATCCATGGATGTGTCAGTTAT